TCTTCATTCTTGACAGCGATCATCGGCATTCAATGTTGCGTCAGACTTCATTGTGGCAGTGTGAGCATCACAGTTGTGAAAACATCTTTAAACTTGTATCAGTTCAAAATGCCCCAATACGTTGCTTTCCAATAGCGCAAGAATTGTAAATGTCAATCAGTTTCCTTTTATAATTTGGGACACCCTGTATACATGCATCATTTATGTGGTCTGTAAATCATTAATTATGGGGCACCGTGAATACATACATCACCATCATTGTCCCTAAATCAAATATTTAAACATTTGGGTACACTCAAAAATCTGATTTGCAGTATAACATCTCTTGGGTTTATGAATAATAAGCCATACATCTTTTTTAGTATGACCAGTTTCTCTTAAATCATATCATAAAAATATAATTTCCCTTGCCTTCATCATACGCTGATGAGTATTGTATCGACATGGACTAATGCGAAAGGAGGAAATCTACACAACTTCATATAGAGGCCTAGCGTGATTTAGTAAAAAATTACAATTTCCAGAATCGCCTATTGTTCTGGAACCCTTTGTATTTGTCAACGTATTACTACGCTTCTTGAAAGAGCTTTCTCTACATTTAGTTTAGAACTATACTCTGCGCCTTGGGTAACGTTTAAGGGTACTCCCTACCTCAAAAGAATCACCCCTTCATAAATGCAAACACATTTTGAACTGATTCATTCGAGATGCGGTAGTTATTTCTGATTTACTTTGCATGGTTCTTATTTTCATCAACTTCAGTAGCAGAAGAAATTATCTTTATCGTGGATTTATCAGAATGTTATTTCAATTATGCTATACGCCTGTACTAGTTCAATACACCATGACGGCAACATCTTAGATAAGATAATTTATCCCATACTTGGACGTGTTACAGGTACATAAAGCCGGTTTGTAAAAACTTATATTTTCATCAGCGGGCAGATATAGCTTTACGTCCCGCTCCGAGCGGGCAGATATAGTATATCTGCCCGCTACGTCATAATCGCCGCTCGTATATTTGTTCATAATTTGTAACGTTCGCGTAATGACTGTAAACGACAATGGAGAAAACACAGACAATCGGGATCTGTTTGATGGTTTAAAAAGGGAAGGAGCATCCACTTAAAACATTCGAGATAATAGATGTGGGAATATTTGAGAGAACAGAAAAATCCGCCCACGGCCAAGAAAACAAAACTGGACATGAATATTCTAAAATATTTCCACGATTGAACAATGTGAACCAGATGACCAAGATTGGTATGGGATAAACATATTATCCTATAGTCGGTTCAGGATATTGGGATTATCCCTTGGTCAATATAATATATTTTCCCTCGGGACCTGCGGCCCTCGGGCAAATATATTATATTGGCCTCGGGGTAATCCCAATATCCTGAACCTCATATAGGATAATCTCTATCTATGCCCTGAATGTTCTTTAAGGGCCTTCAAGAGCACTGCTGAAATCAGGTTCAATAACTCAAGGAGATATTCTGAATGAAGCTGATAAGATCTTGGCTTTCAGATGTCCAAAACAATTTTTTATTCAGTTTATGCTTGGAAGAGAATCGTTTGGCAACATGTTTGATTCCAAGAGATGTATCTTGTGTCTCAGGTAGCGGATCCATTGCCAACAACATTAGGAGGTGCTGGGGTTATCATTTATTTTCTATCGTGTTTATGAATGTGTTTATGTGATTATTAAAAATGTAGTGCTTTATCATTGTACAGGATAAACTAGCTAGTCTTCTAGCTAGAGTCGAGTAACATCTATTGTATCGAACACAGTGGACGTTTTACCTAGGGCCCTACCCACTAGCCAGTATATCTAAAACTAGGAAACGGTAAAGAACGAACAAATTATTCGTGAATCTGAAATATGTCACAATATTGTTTTGAGGGAATTCTCGAATTATGTGGACGTTTTGAATCGAAGCACGAATAACATAAATCATATCTACTAGATATAGTAATCTTATTGTGATCTATTCTACAATAAAATATCTCTGATATAATGCCGAATTACTGCAATTCCTGAGGCTCGAATCAGAAAAAAATTTCAGTGATACCCAATACTTTGGTTAAAAATGAAAAATTCCAAATCATGATGCTATTTTGGATTTTAAGAGGCATTAATCTGAAAAGCGATACAATATTTCAATATAGCTACTCTAAAATGCTCTAATTGAAAGCCCATGATCTGAGTTTGATAAAGTCATATTTCTGAGAAAATATATATTTTCTAGAACACCCATACATGGCCCATGTGGGTCGGGGTGAGAAACATGGAAAATAATTTGAAATAGAATTTTATGTACACACTATCAACATTTCAAACAGTAATAGTCAATATTTTGGTTTCAAAGCGGTGGCCATCTTTGAAAAAAGGTTACTAAAACTATTCACTTATATTTACATCTTTCTAGCAAATACAAGAATCCTACAAATGCAGTAGGAGGAACTGACAGACAGCTTCGCTATATTCCTGAAGAGAAATGATTGAGTTAAAGGCACTGTTCAGTTGAAATATTGTCTGCATTAATATTTTTATGCAAACTTTTGACAGTTCTCATGCCTGGTTACACCCATGATGCCAATTCATGTATTTAGGGAGGGGCGAGGGGGTAGGGTAAAATTTACAAATTACATTAACCGAAGGGCAATCAACAGCAATTGAAGAGTCGCTGGGCTGGGATGTACGTTTTTTCACATGCCAACAGCACATGATTTAAATAATTTAATCAATACAACAAAAGAGCGAAGATATTCAATGATGTTTTTTTATTTATTAATACGTCAATATCTGTCCTCGTATACAACCAATTTACTTGAAATATACATATATGTATGGTATGAAATCAGCCTTATTGTCTCCTGATGAAGTCCTTCCGTTCACCGGCTCAAAGTCTCATACATATAAGTGGCTTACTCTTAAGTATGAGCTGTGAGCTCTGCGTTCGGAAGAAGATTAAACTTTATCCTTATTTGTGTCTAGATACATGGTCACTCATTAATCAGTGTGCCATATATGGATTTAAGGCATATTGGTCAAAAATGAATCATTGACCAATCACCATTTATTTTCCTTTTACTTCACACACGAGAGTAAGCTAGCCTAGATGGAGACTTTTATCCTTGCAACTTCTAAAACAATGGACAACAGGCAGATGTCCCCATAAAAGGTAAACGTCCTAATAATAGGCAGACGTCACAATAGGCAGACGTCCTCACAATAGGCAGACGTCCACACAAAAGGCAGACGTCCTCACAATAACCTCAACATTAATGTAATAATAGTACAAATGAATAACAAGAATGAAGTTGCATAAATGATGAAATTGTCACAACACAATCACATCAATCATACATCATCATTTCACTTATATACACGAGCATAATTATGAAATGTAAAGAAGTACATAAAGACCCAATGATTTTCAGGGACATATGTTTAAAAGAAACAAACTAGCATGGACTAATTCAAAACTGGCCATTTATATGCAGTTCTTAGAAAGGAAATCTCAAGAACTCATCCAGTTTTTCTTTCTTTGAATCTAGGAGCTATACACTTAGAAGGTTGCTTGTGAATTAGCGTTTCCAGTTGGAAACATACCTAAACATCATACCATACTATTCAAGTTTAATACCCTATCTACACTGTCTTAATCGCAAGCCAAGTTTATATACATTGTACATGCTTCACATTGCATTACATCTTAACATTTAAAATAAGCGTATATTTTGTATATGTACAAATTCTATGGATCTGTCACTTAAACATTCCGTTTACAAAAATGCAAAGTAAAATGTTCAAGTTATGCTTAGTTTTGAAACAACAGTGCAATGGCAATAAGATGCCATCTTTTCTATAGTCTCATGACTCAATATTGCAAAGATATGCATAGCAAGTATGCACATTTACTTGTGATATACTTTTACACATTTGGCTAGTTCTGCCTACTTTTATTTTATGCAAGAGTGACAGAACCATATGTCAGTGATTGCACAATAAATTAATAAAATAACTTTGTTTTGGAATACTCATTTTAAATACAGTGACACCTGTCTTATGAGAATGTTTGATCTTCTTTAACATGCCAATAAATACTAGGCCTAATAGAGATTATAACATCGGTAACTAACACTGTGGCTTATGTGACTGACTACATGAGCAGTTCAGATATAACAACATACATAAAATATTTAATTTAGTCGAAATGCCTCTAACACCTTGAAAATAATGGTCTAATGATTTTCAACATGTAACTAAGAAGTACACTCTAGTAGAAATTACTTTCACCTTTTCAGAAATTCTTTTCATAAACAAGCCATTTTATGTGCTCTTTTGGATGGATATATTTCTTCAAAGGCACAAATGAATTGACCAGGAACTCTTAAATTTTAACTAAAACTATTTTTGATTCTTGAACTTTAAGATACAGTTTTTTAACATAACTGCCAATGTGATTTCCATATTTCTGATATTTGGCATCTTAGTACAGTAAAACCAGTGGAAGTGGAACACCTTTGGTACCACTAAAAGTGTTCCACTTGTGAGGTGTTCCACTTACATAGGTTCCTTGAACAATAGGTGAATAGCTTGTGACACTTTATGAAGTGTTCTACTAATGGAGGGGCTCCACTTACAGAGGTGTTCCACTTTACAGGTTTTACTCTATATTATCCATTATTTCATATGCCAATTACATCTAAAAGTGTGGATTCACATTAACAGTTCTGCCTGAAATGGTTACAATGGATTACACTTGTGGTTGCATTCTTAAATTTGCACATAGTTACAATTAAGATTATAGTTACATTTTTACATTAAACTGGCCACATGGCTTGAGTTCTGCAACAATGATCATGCATATAATATTAAAGTACATATAGTTTTACAGTTTAAGTTTTTCAAATGAAAAAGATGCTTATATGTCTTTAATATTTCGTCAGAAAATTGTTTGATCAGATTTACACTGGTTTTGAACGAAACAATATTTCAAAGTGTTCAAGAATGTTCTGCTTACTTCAAATGTTAGAGTCCAACTGAAGCAATGCATTAGCAGGTTCACAGATAATATGAGAGGCCTAATATATTACATATAAACAGTATTTATAGAATGTAAGAAGAAGCACTTTTGTATATATATCACATACAGACATTTTACAAAACCATCAACAATATTTAATACATTAGTACCATGTTGACTGTTTTGTAATCCATTCTTTAACACTTAGTGCCTTGAGTATATATAGCCTTATTCACAATATGCACAATTATAGGGTGGTATATACGCCACCCCTCCACGAATCAACTCAGTTCATTTACAAGGGGAGCATCCTATCTTTCTTTTCCCCATATGGAATTCCACTCTCTAAGGGAGCATTTAGTATTTGTTATCCCCTTGGGGTTGCATTGAATTACGAACTGCTGATGTTGCAGCTGTTGCTGCAGCATTTTGCACATTTTTATTCGACATAACTCCAGATGCAAATTCCGCTTGCGCTTTTTCAAAACTGGCACCAGTGTTGCGGTATAACCGATGAACCTGAAATTTAAACATGATTTTACTTTAATTCTTCATTGGAGATTACAATATAACCAAGTTACTCAATTGAATGAGTCATGACCCACCTTATTATATAGAATCATGACGAAAAACTAACCTAATATATTATACCATAAACTCACCCTTTTAATTAAACATGAAAAGAACCACATCCTAATTAGTAGAATCATGACAAGAAACTCATCTTATAAGTAGAGCCAGTTGCCATGACGAGAAACTCCTTTTAGGGAGAATCATGACAAGAAACTCACCCTAATAAGTAGTACCATAACTGCTACAGCTGTTAGAGTAAAGAAGAGAGCAATGATCAACATGATAGCTCCCACTGCAGGATTGGTTCCTACCATACCAAGTCCAACAATCCAGCCACTGAAAGTACAACAATACATGTTAACAAAATGGAGACAGGAGTGGATAGGATTTGGAGCATGGTAAATAGTGAAATTAAAATATAATGACATGGCCACATTTTATCTGATTTTCAGTAAATGCGCCAGGCCGATGATTATTTTGTTTTGCATTAACAGGCCTCCTAGACTTCTACTAATGCGATCAACAGTTCCGATGTCGCAAACTACATTGTTGCTACACTTTTTTGTGTTTTTTTCGATGTTGGAGAAATATGTTTGGGAGAGAGGAACTGGTGGTTTGCGACTAAAGAATTCATATTCGGGTTTTGAGAACCCTTGTTAACAATGTCAAAACTGATGATTGTGTTAGTGGAAGTCTAGGAGGCCTGATTTAGTTTAGAACAAATTACTCATACTCTGCTGGGCACCAGTATTGAAGATCGGAGCAAATGTGACGTCGGCATAAAATATGGTATCTTATATATATATTTTGTACAGGGTTCATGTAAAATACACAATTGGGGTAATTAATTGAAGTTGCGATATTGATCAACCCACTTTTCGATTAAAAGTGATCACGAGATTTGATGCCATTGACACATGCTGAAACAAACTAAAAATGTGTTTTGCGTCTAAACACATGCACCAGGTTTACTTCCACTATTCTCAATGCCGAACAACTCGATAGTAGGTGTTAGTTGCTGCTTAATAATCAGATTAAATCGTTATTTTTACTAGGTTTGGGGCCAGAGCAGAACATATGAGTTTGCCATCTGGTAGATGCTATTTGCATTCTCGAATACAAGCTCAGTTTCTCTAGAATATTTTTCATAAGGTCAAATGCAACCTGTTTAAGTGGAACACCTTTGATAGAGCTAAAAAGAGTTCCGTTTTGGAGGTGTTACACTTATCGAAACTAGAAAAACAGCAACTCCACGGAGTAGCAAATCCCGACGAACAAAACATGTTTTGATAAAAAAATTGAGCCAAATTTATCCACTGGTATTTGAATTATCAAAGATTATGTCTTTATGAAACATGGTTGCCATTTTGAAATTCAGCTGTCATCTTTAGATTTCTTCTTTAGCAGAGAATGTCCTTCCAATGGTATCTGGGTTATCAAAGGTTACTTTTTTAATGAAAAATGGCAGCCATTTTGAAATTCAGTTATTGCCTTTGAAATTTCTTCTGAAGCAGATCTCCTTTTTCCCTAAACATCAGCATATAAAATTGGAACCAAATCCATCCACTAGTATTTGAGTTATCATTATTTACGGTTTTTTTTACAAAAAGTGGCGGCCATTTTGAAATTCAGTGGGCATCTTGAAAGTTCATTTTTGAGCAGAACTTCTTTTTTGTCTCTAGGCATCAGCATATAGAATTTGAACCAAATCCGTCAACTGGTATTTGAGTTATCAAACGTTGCGTTCTTTTATGAAAAATGGCGGCCATTTTGAAATTTAGCTACCACCTTGAAAATCCCTTCTCGAGCAGAGCTCCTATGTCCCTAGGCATCATCATGTAAAATTTGAACCAAATCCATTCAATGGTAATTGAGTTATCAAAGATAATGTTTTTTTATGAAAAATGGCCGCCATTTTGAAATTTAGCTGCCATCTTGAAAATCCTTTCTTGCGCAGAGCTCCTATGTCCCTAGGCATCAGCATCTAAAATTTAAACCAAATCCATTCAATGGTATTTGAGTTATCAACGATAATGTTTTTTTATGAAAAATGGCCGCCATTTTGGAATTTAGCTGTCATCTTGAAAATCCTTCCTCGAGCAGAGCTCCTATGTCCCTAAGCATGAGCATCTAAAATTTGAACCAAATCCATTCAATGGTATTTGAGTTATCAAAGATAACGGTTTTTACGAAAAATGGCCGCCATTTTGAATTAAGCGGCCATATTGAAATTCCTTCTCGAGCAGAGGTCCTACACCCATAAGGCATAAGCCTATAAAATTTGAATGAAATCCGTCAACCGGTATTTGAGTTATTGCCCGGACACACGAACGGACGGACGGATGAATGGACGGACGGACGGCTTTTCTATATCCCCCTCGAACTTCGTTCGGTGGGATAATTAAGTCTTGGGACTCTGAAGTGTTCCACTAACAGAGGTTTTCCACGAACAGAGGTATTTCACGAACAGGGGGTTCTAGTTTAACGGTTTCACCGTATGCTTTTAAAACAAGAGCTAGACTACTCACCAATAGCCCCATCCATCAATGCCTACAGCTTGGATGACATTCACACAGAATTGGAAGAAAAACACGAAGAAAAACATAAAGAAGTTAAAGGAACTGTCACTCCTGAAATAAAAAAGCAGACATTAGTACAGGTGCGAGATTCCAAAATATTTCAATGATCAATAGTTACAAAAAATATTTAAAGAATATATTATCATGTTACTGTTATCATATTACTTATTTTATCAGATCTTTATAGATTTAACTATATTTTGTAATTAAAGACAATTACTGAAAAGCTATGCATAATGCACAAAATGAGAAATTACTATGACAAGATAAAAACATGTCTAACTTAAAAGATATAATACTTAACAGTAAAGGGCTTACATAAGCAGAATTTAGTCCGAGGAAAGATACCAGATTCCAGACAGTGCAAGTATAAGCAATGTTTAAGCAGTAAGTTGAAGCAGTCTAAACATGCAGATATAAGAAACAGCTCATTTCTATTTCCTCTCTGACTACTAAACTGTTCAGATGAAAAATTAGAGCTTTCACTTTTATGATGCATCAACTTTACCACTTTAAACAAAGTGATCTCACTGTATATGTATCCAAATATATTTATATTATATATGGATGGCATCAGATCAATAAGAATGTGCTAAAAGATGAGGTAGCATTCAGAATTTCAACTGCCAGCTAATGGTTCAACCTACTATTTTATGGCCAACTCAGTTAAAATTAGATTTAAAACTATCAGCCGGCAATTGATTTTGTGATTGTTACCTTAGTTTTGCCTTACGTATTTTTTGTTCAAAATATCACAATTGAATAAGGACAAGGAGCTCATACGTCTCAAACTCATGACCTCATGGTTAAGGAAACAGCGCCCTTAGCATGTTCAGAGCTATATACCGCACAAGTTTTATATATACTGTATACATACATGTAGGTACTTATGAGACAGGTTAAGAAAATAGGATAGAGTGGTTTAAGATGGGTATTTCCAAACAACTATTACACACTGTTCTACTTTAACATGTTATTCTAACATTTGAAGCTATACATTAACACAACTTAAAATTTTTTCATATGTATTTTAGGAGCAGGGGTTTCTCACAACCTGTCTTGAGGAAGTAGGGGTTTACTCATAACTTGTCCAGAGAAAGTAAGGGTTTACTCATAACTTGTCAAGAGGAAGTAAAGGTTTACTCATAACTTGTCAAGAGGAAGTAGGGTTTACTAAAAACTTGTCCAGAGGAAGTGGGGGTTTACTCATAACTTGTCCAGATGAAGTAAAGGTTTACTCATAACTTGTCAAGAGGAAGTAGGGGTTTACTCATAACTTGTTTAGAGGAAGTGGGATTTACTCATAACTTGTCTAGATGAAGTAGGGGTTTACTCATAACTTGTCTAGGGGAAGTGGGGGTTTACTCATAACTTGTCTGGAGGAAGTAGGGGCTTACTCATACCTTGTCAAGATGAAGTAGGATGTAGGGACCACGAGAGTCTATTCTTATTCACTCTTATATAATAAACAGTATCTATTTATTTAACTTGATTAAATAGTTATATATAACTATAAATAGGGAAAGAATTACATAACTTTAAAATAGTATTTTAAGTATCTCCAAATAAAAAGGTGGGGGATGGGGCATTTAATTAGAGGACTGTCTCCCCACCTAAATGCTTTATAGACAGGTCTAAACCAGCAACAGTAGGCACATGGTACAAATATCAACCACAGGATAGATAAGCCAAATGTGGTCCCTGCACCCCCTTTCTTATCCGCAGGACATGTTATGAAGTAAATTAGGGCACCAAGTACGTTGAGCAGGTGAGTGATGGAATGAACTAAAACATAGGACACAAGTGAAATATTAATCAAAACAACATTAATTCAGAGAGAGAAAAGAGAGAACTATAGATATTAGTTTTGTAATAACTCAGTCTAGTGCATATTGCCATCATAACATAATTTTAGACATTTCTTTCGACTATGCAATAGATTGAAATACACAGCAGATTGAAATTATAACATGCATTAAATGGTTGATGATAAAGGTAGTTTTGCTTCCCAATATCGAGTCATCGCCTTTTCTGAAAGTTCTGTGTTAACTGTTTATGGGAAATACTGCACGTTCATCAAGATTCCTTAATTTCAATTGTCTTAAGTACGGAATTTGACAATATCACCAGACTTTTGAATTTAAACAAATCGTAATTTACAAACTTTTAAGGCAACAGCCTCCATAAACAGATATTGAAGTACTGTAGATAGAGAGGCTGATAATATATGGCAACTGGGAACAAAGGACCACGAGTTGTTTATAGAATAAATCAGGGTAGTTTTTTCATGCATTTCGCTTGTGTTTTTCATCTAAAAAACACCAATACACTTTAATTTAATTGACTTTAAGATTGCACCATATAATCCCAAAAAATATTTCTCACGTTCGAAGATCATCTCTGGATTTGCACCCAGATATTGTTACTTTTCTAACTTCAGAGGGCTGGGAATCATTTTTACGATCGCTTTTGAATAATATTAATGCTGTTTTAAATAGGTTCCATGTATGCCAATAATTTCTCAGATTTTCTTTTTGATGAATTTCCTATAGTGATCCAATGGTATAGTTTCAAGCAGATTTTGAGATAACAGGAAGTTACTAGTAATCATTAATACACACCTTATTGGGTTGTTTTGGCTTATATTACAAGCCAATGAGGTTTGTATTATTGATTAACTTTCCAATAGCAATATCACCTTCAACTTTTGCAAAGCAGTATAACCTTGACCTTTTGCAAGGTACAGTATAAGCAAAAGTAAACAAGGAATTAACACGACAAAATGTCAACACCAGTTATTTGAAGCTAAGAATTTGTAACAGATGCTGGCTGCCATCCACAAAAAAGTTGGAGACTATAACAATATGTCACCACTTCTGATGGTGGCATAACATCTATCAAATGTCCTTGCCAAGAGAAGCAAAATGGGAGAAGAGCTTTCAAACGCCTATATTATGTAACCATTAGTTCAGTCAAGAAGCCAGACAAGAGATAAAGAGAACACTGCAAAGAAATGTGAATGACTCAGATGCGAGTAGGTAGCTACCAGTAAATTAAATTAAATTAAAATATATCCAGTAAAAGAAAATGTTATCTGTCCAATACAAGAAAATATATTCACATTTTTGTGATTTTATAACGTGGGGTCTATGGGGAATCTCCCATATTTTCAAAAAAAATTAAATTTTCTAAGTTGATAAACAATTTTCGAAACCATATTTCTTTTACTTGTAGATTTCAAATATGACATGAATATTGACTGAATTTTGAATACTAGATAACGTAAATCAAGATTAAATCTACTCGCATCTTGTCTATTTCACTGTACATCCTCAGCTCACCTAAATGCTTTATAGACAGGACGATACCAACATATAAATGAACATCCAGGGAACAAGATTAACCACAATATGGAAAACCCGAAATTCATCCCATTCGATCCAACAATAAAAGAGGCTAGATTGCCAATGAGATTCAGGAAAAGAAGTATGGTCCACCCTGTAATATATACATGTATGTCTCACTCATTTTGTCAAAATTATAGAATACAAATCATGGGTTGAGTTGTAATAACTGGAAAGAAACCTAAAAAGTATAAAAATGAAGAGTCAACCAAGGATTGATACATCTGAAACATAACATAGTATCTGAAGACAACTTCGTCAATAATACTCGTACATATAGAGTGATAGTAGGGTAAGGATGAAAATATTCACATAATTCTCATAACTGAAAGACCAAGAGTTTACTTATTGATTATTGATCATAACTGAAAGAACCATAGTTTACTTATTGATCATAATCGAAAAACCAAAATTTACTTATTGATCATAACTTTAAGACCCATAGTTTACTTATTGATCTTAACTGAAAGACCCATAGTTTACTTATTGATCATAACTGAAAGACCCATAGTTTACTTATTGATCAAAACTGAAAGACCCATAGTTTACTTATTGATCATAACTGAAAGACCCATAGTTTACTTATTGATCATAACTGAAAGACCCATAGTTTACTTATTGATCAAAACTGAAAGACCCATAGTTTACTTATTGATCATAACTGAAAGACCCATAGTTTACTTATTGATCATAACTGAAAGACCCCTAGTTTACTTATTGATCAAAACTGAAAGACCCATAGTTTACTTATTGATCAGAACTGAAAGACCAAAAGTTTACTAATTGATCATAACTGAAAGACCCATAGTTTACTTATTGATCATAACTGAAAGACCCCTAGTTTACTTATTGATCAAAACTGAAAGACCCTTAGTTTACTTATTGATCATAACTGAAAGACCCATAGTTTACTTATTGATCATAACTGAAAGACCCATAGTTTACTTAATGATCATAATTGAAAGACCAAAGGTTTACTTATTGATCATAACTGAAAGACCCATAGTTTACTTATTGATTATAACTGAAAGACCCATAGTTTACTTATTGACCATTACTGAAAGACCCATAGTTTACTTATTGATCATAACTGAAAGACCCCTAGTTTACTTATTGATCAAAACTGAAAGACCCATAGTTTACTTATTGATCAAAACTGAAAGACCCATAGTTTACTTATTGATCATAACTGAAAGACCCGTAGTTTACTTATTGATCATAACTGAACGACCCATAGTTTACTTATTGATCATAATTGAAAGACCAAAGGTTTACTTATTAATCATAACTGAAAGACCCATAGTTTACTTATTGATCAAAACTGAAAGACTCCTAGTTTACTTATTGATCATAACTGAAAGACCCATAGTTTACTTATTGATCATAACCAAAAGACCCATAGTTTACTTATTGATCAAAACTGAAAGACCCATTTACTTATTGATCATAACTGAAAGACCCGTAGTTTACTTAATGATCATAACTGAAAGACCCCTAGTTTACTTATTGATCAAAACTGAAAGACCCATAGTTTACTTATTGATCAAAACTGAAAGACCCATAGTTTACTTATTGATCATAACTGAAAGACCCGTAGTTTACTTATTGATCATAACTGAAAGACCCATAGTTTACTTATTGATCATAACTGAAAGACCCATAGTTTACTTATTGATCATAACTGAAAGACCCATAGTTTACTTATTGATCATAACTGAAAGACCCATAGTTTACTTATTGCATACACTGAAAGATTTCATTAAATTCCCATTAATGAAAGACCATGAGCTAACTAAATGCAAAACTGACCAAATTCACTAATTGCACATAACTGAAAGACCAAAAGTTTTCCGACAGAAAAATATACACTTCTCCTATTTGGCATTCCAACATCTCATGATTATATTATTGACACAATATTAGAAATCAGAAACACCAAAGCTGACATTGTTCAAAACCAAATATTATTGTATGAATTTCAAGCATTAATAAAGCATGTTTCTCAATGTTAATCTCACACCAAGTCCACTTTACACATCTTTTAAATGTTATACCCTATAAACCTCATATCTTCTTTAATAGTCCTCACCTAAATGCTTTATATAAAGGCCTAAACCAGCAGCAAAATGATAGAAAACTGTTCAGGATAAACCATAAAATTGAAAGTCCGAAACTTTGCCCTGCATTGTCACTATCCTTTCCAGTTTGTAATGCTACGATTAAAAATGCCAGACTTCCAAGTATATTGAGGAACTCAAGTACCACTTTCCCTGCAAAAAACCAGCGCTATATATTGGTCATTCATAAGTTTTTTTAGTTGTGACACTGATATGTCCAGTTGTATCAATTTCCTTTTTTGTACTTGAACTCCATTTCTATTTCAGGCAGCCAGGGATGTTGGCACATAATGTATATAAACAAGCTCGAAATGCAGAATTTGGTTGACATAATATCATTGAATTACCACATGCGCACCTATCACTATCAGCACATTTTGCAATCTAAATATAATTTAGCAATTAGGGCATAACATATGACAGGCTGCAAGGTTTTATACTCTGATCTCAAATATGGCACCCTCACATCTCTGAAATATAGTCGGATAGTTGCATAGTTGAACACCACATAGTTGGACACAACATAGTTGGCTTTCCATATCTTATTCTATATTCTGTACAGTGACAGAGGCTTATTATGCAACAATCGGAAATTTTTAATTGAACATTACCATTAAGCTCATACTGACACAACTGGAAATGCAGGGCATTGAAGCAGCTTATTGCCCACTCAAGGACTCCTATTCTATACTCAATAAAAAGCTTAATTAAGGATAAAACTGGAAAAGCTCACACTAGGAATGATTGTCTAAGCTTATTCTGGAGACCCCATGAAATAAAAAACTGAAAAAGCTTGCAAAGGAACAAACGCCTAAGCCTGATTTGGAGACCCCTTGAAATTGACATAAAAACTGGAAAGCTGACACTGTACTTATTCTGTATCCTGACCTGAATGCTTTATAAACTGGACGAAACCAACAAACGTATGAACATGGAGTAAAGAGGATCAACCAGAGTATGGAGAGACCCAATGAAGTCCCCGCCATTCCGCTTTTTGTAGTTCCTTGCGCAACGATAATATATGCCAAGGCTCCAATAAAGTTGAAGATCATAAGGACAGAATAAACTAAAAGTATAGTAGAAGTGATTTATGGTTGAAACTGATACATATTTTCAGTTATAGAATGCCACAGTTGTGTGTATACTATTATACTATTAACACTGTGTTCTTGTCTTTATCACCAAATCACCAAATCCCTTAAATTGTGAAATAGCTTGCATATGTTTTGCATAATACTCTATGTTATCAAGTATTTAAGTATTTTACAACACATAGATCAGATATAAAAGTATATCTTAACCAATATTCATGGTATTCCGATTCATCCTTTCAAGGGGCAATCAAATTTCATTTCAGAGGAATTAGTCAATATATATACAAGTATTTTAGTTCTATTCTAAAAATAAACAAATTAAGTATTAACATGCATATAATAATAATAACTATATAATGTCATAACATTAAATTATTACTGGGTGGGAAAGCAAAAAAGATAATAGACAAAGACAAGAAAGAAGGGAAAGTTCAAAATTATTAAGAATTATGAATATGTCAAAGCTGGTCTTGAGCACACGTGGGCTACTGTTATTTGAAGTTGAGGAAATCTCCAATTGTTGGAAAAATGTTTATGCCTGAATAAATAATGAAAGTATTGCAAAGGTTAAAAAAAATCTTGTGGTGTCTCATTCACTGCTTTTGACTGATTATTTGAGTTCTTGCATCTTGTTTACCACTTATACATGCAATATAATCATAGATTTATTGCAATACCTTACTGCGATTAAAATCCTAGCTTTGACATATCCATTAAAGATTTATACCCTTTCTAAAAGCCAAGATTGTTAAAAATAAGTATAACTATTATACATCACATAGTCATATATACCTTAGAAACAATCATGAAAATCACCTTTAGAAAGAGAATAACAAATGAGAGAAAAATCCACAAATCAAAATGCAACCCAAGTGGCCCCAATATTGCCATTCCCTATTGTGTTACCTGAAGGCTTTATAAACAGGTCTATACCAGCAGATAAATGCACAGGGCGTAAACAGTATAAGGAACAGTATAGACATTCCAAACTGTGTTCCCGCGGAACTCTTGCGCTCAGCTGGCGCAGCGATAAAATATGCTAATGACCCAAGGAGGTTTAACATGAGCACAATTGTGTAAACTGAAATAATAGTAACAACAAATATAACATTAGCTTGTTTAAAAATAAAATACAATCCATGGCAATTATTCAGGTAAGGCCATAAGAAGTAGATTCTTTGTTTTGCGTCCCCTTGCTTGCACGATTTTGAGTAAATCAGAAAAAACAAACACATCCAAATAGCAATCACAAGGGTCTGAAAGTACCATCGCTTTTCGTTCAATCAGAATCAGACAAAATGGCGGATAATTTAATGTGCGTCAAAATTGACAGTGTTATAATTACTAAGGCATACATTGAGTATTTTCTTATTTTTTACCCTTGAATAATAGCTATGTTTAAATATATCGTATAAAATGTATAGATATGTATTTGTAATCACTGCAAATTGGTATGTCATCCCCTTTTATGCCCATAAAATGTATACATTTCTCAGCAAACAAGTTTGTGTTTTTTCTTGAGTTTGTGTTTGTTTTCCTTGTACCCTTGCATGATTTGGATTTTGCCAGGACGCAAAACAAAGAATCTACTTCTTATGGCCTAAGGGGTTTGTGCAAAAGGGAAGGTTAGTTTGGAATTTCGATGACCTCTGGAAGCATGTGCCTGTGAGAATATGTGCATATTAGAATGCCTCTAGGACGTACACCTTATGATTCTGCGGAAGCCAAACCTAACAATTATTTATTTTAAGGACTTTTGAATACTACATTACCAGGGGGTGTGAATTTGTAAGAATCCTAGAATTTATAAATTTTATCTTTTTGATAAATTTTTGGATTCCAGATAAATATTTGCTGAATTGATATGATCCTAGATTTATCTGAATTACATTGGAAATCGATATATATTTGATCAGAAAATAAACAAGGGAACAAGAACAATGAACAGAGGACCCTGTATGTGAAAAGGAGGACTGATGTAACAAGCTGAGCCATTGAAAAGCATACCAATCAACCATTTTTTGAAACATTATACCAGGTAAAGGGTCATCTCATATTGTGATTTAAATCAATTTTTATTTTTGAAAAAAAATCCCCTTATGCTCTTCTCAATGCTTAAAATAGCCTTCTTATACTAGTTCATAAAAGAACATACATCAAAAAGAACATTTTAAACATCATAAACTGTGCAACAGCAAGCAGGTTCATGTATAGTAAATATTTTTCCTGTAATTTCTACCTGAATGCCTTATATACAGGCCTGAACCAACAGAGATAGGAGCAAGGGCCAAACAGAATCATAAACAGTATTGACATTCCGAATTGGGTCCCTGATGTAGTTTTCCTATCAGAAGGGGAAGCTATAAAGTATGCTAGACTCCCAATTAAATTCAGTATGAGTGTTACTGAATAAACTGAAATAAAATAGAATGAATGAATAAATCATAGGATCGATTTACAACACCCGACATTAACAATATCTAGGCTGTTTGCTCTAAGTAATGGCCACCATGCATCACAGTTCAAACACCATGCTTCCATACACAAGGGGAGGCCCCAGTGCCTGAATGAACATGACTCAAAACAAACAGCAATTTGTCCATGCTCTAAGGCAGCTAACCTATAACATAAGCCAACACTGAAATAAAACGCAAATATAAAATCAATACACATATATAGAAAACTCTAATACATGCAGCATTTTATCCTAACAAAATCATGAAAATTACGAAACAGCACATTGAGTTGGCCCACCAACCTGAAGGCCTTGTATGCTGGTCTGTACCAACAAAGGAATGAACATGGTGTAAAAAGTAACACATATGCAATGGAAAGGCCAAATGAGACCCCTGCATTAGAGGATCCTGTGCCAATAAAATATGCAAGGTTTCCCAGTAGGTTAAGCACAATCAGCAAGATGTACCCTAAAACAAAAAATATGAGATTTTTAAGGTGTACCACAAACAGACACTTCCCATTTTTTATCAATTCTAAGAAATGTATGTACAAAAGGGTTTTGACGTATTTGTGTACAGTATTTATTAAAGAGGCAACAAAAGATAGAAACCACAGTTGAGCAGTAACATTTTAAGAATTTTAAGATACTTTTTGCCAGCACCATATCTTGTCCTACCTATTTTCTAAATTTCGACTGATGCCTGGTTTTCAAGGTGATTTAGCAATATTAAAAAAAAAGTAAAAAAAAATTTGAACATTTTCTTATCCTATTAAGTCTCGAATTACATGTTCTTTGATGACGTCATCAGACAGGAACTCTTCAGAACACATTGGCAAGTTTATTAAAAAGATCGTATCCAACATTTTACATTCTATATCCTTTGTTGCCACTTTAAATAATAATGTATATATTTAGAGATCTATAGAGTAAGTAAAAATGATACAACAAAAAACTCTACAGTATAACATGTTGATATATAGGGTGGCCCTAAAGTGGATTTACAGTTTACAGAAAGAGAATGTTGAATAACTGTAGCCCTACTTTTGGACCGCCCAGTGTATGTAAGTCATGTTACCCCCTTAAGCTAAGCGAGTAGAATTTCAAATTCTCTATCATTCTATATCACAGTTATCTATACAGGTTTTTATACAATTTTAAATGTTTATACAATTGTAAATTTTAATATCAGAGATAATTATTTTTCATTTTTGATCAAACAATCTTAAAACTGTTTCTATGTCTAAATAACTACATGTACTTTCAATAACTGTATCAACTTGAAATATATTTACTTATATAACACAATGTTATAAATATATATTATGCTTCCCAGCTCCACTCACACTGTTAACAAGAAAATGCAGCAAATCTCGTCGAGTCGAGGTCTCCAAGTCAAAAAAATGCCCGACTCTCTTATCTGTTGATTATCCTGTTTATAACTGATTCAAGGCCCATTCAAGAGCGTTGCACTGAACGAACCTATATGCCAATTTGTTCTTTGTTTAGTTGTTGGTTGGGTAACATGTTTATGACGTCACAAATGATGCGAAGAATCTTTAAACCAATCAGTGAAGTCTATATTAATTGTTTGTTTAGTTGTTGATGCGGCAATACGTGTCTGACGTCACAGGTGATTGCATCATATTCCAGTCACGCCATTTTACGACATTGCATAATTTTAGCTGATTTTGGCTTCATTTCACTTTATTTGAAAGACTTTTAAAAATATAATAATGAGTCAGTATTTTTTCTAATAAATATTAATATTTGAATTTGAGGTCAAAGTTCGAAAATTTGATCAACTGATTGAAATCACATTTTAAAGAGGTGAAGAAGTGAATAATTACAGGAGCAAACGTGTTCATTGGTTCGAGGTCTCCCGCAAAGTAGTCGCTACGCTCCTACTTCGCGCTGCCTTCGGCAGAGGAGACCTCGAAAAAAAGCAAAAATGTTTTGGTTTTGATACTCATCAGATAATAAAAAGCATTATAGTAAATCATATCAGCAGGGTTCATCAATTGAACTGTTATTTCTCCAGAAATTTCATATTGCATATCAGCTGCATGCAATTTGTTGTAACTTGAGATCTTAAATTCTGAACACGAAAAATGATGAGTCCTTAACAAAACTCTCCCAACCCTGAATGTTATTTCATCATGCAATATGACAGTATTATATCATGACACCATTGATTTCAGGTTGTTTGTAATAAAAAGCTTCATAGTTCAATACATTATACACCAATGGGTATATTCAAATGTAGGCCACAGACTGCCAGAGGCAGAACCACCTTTAAGGTTAAGCTAATTTTTACGATATGCCCAGTTAATGAAGCTAGGTGACTCATATCCAAAGATAATACATTATCTTAGTGATATGCTTATACTCTGAGGGAATGTCTGTATCGAAATCTTGATGAATACATGGCTTTATACATTCTGGACAGCATGAAGGGATCGGTGGAAAGTTGTTGAAGCTCGCTCCTGGAGCTGGGAACATAAGTTGAATTTTAAAATTAATATACATAATGCAACATATCATTATTTCAGAATCTACATAAACTCAATGTGTATTGAAAGGAATATAGGAAACAATGATTTTCTATGACAGACAAAAAGACACATATCCTTTATAATACACATTCTATTTATAGCACATTCACGAGACAATAAAATGTTGCTGTTACATCAATTCTACTTACACCCCCATAAATAATATATAGTTTTGACGATTCTCTGGAATTCTGCTGGTATATCTACTTCAAAGTCTTGATAAAAACAGGGACCTATTGGAAAGAACTTCGGCAATGGTGGCCAGTTATTCTGTCGTGCTGGAGAAATAAATCAAAATATTAAATTGAGACAACATATTTTCAATACTTATTCGGTCCAGATTGATGGAAAAGTGAGAACCTTTATGAATTGTATGAAAGACTATTTGAATTACAATTCTATCAAGTTAAATCTATGAAATTATTTCTATGGTGATGCTCTTTTTCTTTTGATACATTTAAAATAAAATTAAGCTAAAAACATTTCAAAATCCAATATTATTACTCTTATATTAAATTGAAAAAAGTTTATATGTATGTGTATTTTACCATTGTATGTTCCAGCTCGCATTTCTTGTTCTTTTCTTTGTAATTCAGCTGCTTTCCTTTCTAATTCCTAAAAAATATTTAAAAAGATTTTTGAATTAACAGAAACACAAAATATAATTTTTTGTGTGACACTCTAAAAACAATTCATCATTTGTGGTGTTAGTACCGTAATCTAACAAAAAAATGTGTTCATATAGGGGTATGTTTAATCTTCAACAAATTATAGGGAGTCGGCATTTCATCATTAAAATGAGAGTTGGGCTGACCTCTTTATTTTATGGCATACTAGGTAGCCTAGAAGCCACCTGTGGCATTATTTAGAACAAAATGACAGGTTTTTATATGGACTATATAGGGGTCATACAGAGATCACGGTAGACGTTCGCCATTCGCCAATCGCGAATTTTCGAAAGAGGTGGCGAAAAATATGTAAAGGTATTTCGCAGTTATGGCGAATTAGAGGTGTCACGGTTTCCCGATATTGGACCGAATTTCGGTCCAGATGCTTCGGTTCGGGACATGGGACAGAAAGGGTTAATATCGGTACATAGATTCCTTCCCTAAAATGCATAAAAACGTGTATAAATAGCGAGGAACACCTCCGATTTCGTTCTGAAAAATTAAATATTTTCACTTACCTCGTACCTAGATTACACTTCTTTGCATTGAAAAGTGTTATTAACGGACCCGCGATTTCAGGTAGATGGTAATGCTTGTTCGTAAATTTCTTCATCGTCGTTCGCAAATCGAGTGCATTATCAGTATGCCGGATGTAGGAAAGAAATTGAAAAATTGAGCCGGCATCTAAGTCGAAAAAGTCGGCAGTTTGGAAGTATTTTGGGACTCCGATATCACAAGGTAAACGAATTGGTAATATTACACCGTGCAGACTATGTGAAATGCCGATCACATTCGCGGCAGATGCTTTACATTCAATTTTAATTGACGTTTTTTATTTCTGAATATGATTTTGAAAAGTGAAACTGAAAGTGAAACTGTCATCATCAGACATTGCATAATGTTCCCTTTTTTACGGTTTTTCAAAATGGCTAATTCATATTTTGGTTGGCGAAAAAATTTTGGGAAGATTTAGCCACAATGGCTAACAAGTTTTTTCAACTATCGTGATCTCTGGGTCATATCTTTTGGCGGATGGATATGGACACTCACACCTTGTACCCTCGATAAATCATTGACAAAAGAAAACTGAATATTACGCAACTAGTCAGCAACATTAAAACAAGAATATCAGTTAGGCAATAAGCCAGTACAAAAAAATAGTCACTTTCATTTCATTACACACAACCTTGAATGGTGAATGATGATGCATTACTTCAACTTGTTATGCTTTATCATAAATTAATTAGACAACTTACTTCTTGTCTTTTCTGTAGATCATCTGTGTTGACATTTTGTGCTGGACTGGCTGTGTAGGCTGGGGGTGCCTCCGTAGGTTGCATGACAGCAGGTTGGGGGTTGGGGGGTCTGGCTGCTGCTGGCTGAGTGGCGCCAGCAACCTGTGGTTAAGAACAATACAAAGATTCTGGATTATATGAGACATTAAGAGTTCATTGAGAAGAGGATACACACCTCATATATTCCTCCAAAGTAACTCTTATTTCATTTTTTCATCACTACACTAGCGCAAATCGCAACAAGGTCACCAGTAGTAGCATAACAGTTACTATTTCATTTTAGCTTGCAAATGAGATTGGGAGTGTTCATTTTTTGTGAAAGGGAAAGAGTCAGTGAACAAAAGATGTGTAACAAACTTATATAAGAACAAATATGAAATGGACAAACATGTGCAATAGACCTTATCATTAGTTCCACCCTGGTGGCCCTATAACATTTAAACCTTCATTAACAGTAATATCTCAGTTCTATCAATTATTAATCAATTTTAATCAGTAATCTTGCAGAATTAGAGATACAAATCCTTATAATTCCTCACCAAACGTTCTGTGGCCCTTTGAAATAAATCTACTGAGTGCTTTTCCTGAAATTGTGTACATGAGAAAAAGTGAGGAAATATTAGGTGCCATAAATCAATGAATTAATTAGTATTGGCAAATTTTTACACTGGGTGTTGTAAGAGATCGGCAACCAGGCTCTGGACTGTAGCAAATATGATGGTTAAATATCTTTGTGAGAGTTAAGGATTACCAGGAATGACCTTTAGAACCCATTACTATCTAACTATAAATACCCCCATAGTTGAAATAAAATTTATATAAATTATGTTGTCTACTCTATTACATTTACCTAAATAGGGGGTATTATATCAACTTTTACATAAAATAACTATCAAATACAATAATTTCTACAATAAGTGCAAACCTGTGTTGTGTTTTGTGCAGCAAAGGGGTTGAATTCTGCATTTTGGGGAGCTTGGGTTCGTGTAGCACTTTGTACTGAGGGATCCTGAAATTAACAAACAACTTTAAATATACTCCAAATATTAGGGGGAGTGTGATCTATTTTAAAGAAGTTATAATACAGAACATACATACCGTATAGAAATATACATGTAGAGATTTACCTAATTCTTACATGCATTCCAATGGTGCTATTATAATCCCATTATAATCAGTTCATTTTTCACATCTTTCTAATGATTTATTGATAAATAATGCCTGATAATAATGAAATAAGTTTGAATAAGAAAGATAGATTGATCAATTTTACATTTTACACTCATTGAGTGTTTTGTACTTAGTTGACATGAGAAGTCAAGATGACCTATAGATAATGAAAATGAAAACAGTTTTCAGTTTTTCACTTCCTGCTTATCATTTATGGTTATTTATATCAAACACTTATCGTACCTTCAATCACCTAAACAGAATTTGAACCAATGAGTCATGAATCATCTGACCATGATACATGTGAAAAATATTGTCAATGGAGTTTGGCTACAACAAAACTGTTTCCATTTCTCAATAGAAACTAGACACATACACTGTACACAGAATAATAGATCCATATGTGACATTTATAGAATAAATGAAACGCCTGATAAATATAGATAATCTCAGATGTTGTGAAGGGACTTGTCAATGAAATTCATAATTTTGCACTTTCCCTTGTATATTCAGGAAGGGGAGTGTCTGTAAGTTTGTGATGTTCATTGCAAGACAATCTCAACTGAATTGTATTCAGAAAATCAACACATAGTCTCATTAACCAAATAGAAAAGGATGAATATGTTTACATTAGATATAGCTTGTATGATAATGAACTGGAATGACCAGATAGAACCTTGGAATTATTGGAAAAATAAAAAAAAATGAAAAAAATAATTCAACATTGGTACTCACTGCAAATGGGTTTGCCGTCGTAGGATCAGCAAATGGGTTCTGTTCGAAGTCAGACATTATGTCGACTATTTGAATTCACTGTTTGGTCCTTTTCTATCAGAAGAACCCTCTGATAATCATAAAAATATGAGAGATTATGTTCACAGCTTTCTCCTGTAAAAATGGCTGTCAGTAATTGACGCATGCGCACAAGTGCATTACGTCATTTTCAAGTAGACTTCTTTCGGCATCGATTTATAGTAGTTTTATAAGGATTGGACGTATTTTGACCACTTTGAACAATCACAAACTATCAAATGTATACTCAGCTGAAGTGCTTATAAAAAAGATGGTCTGCAAGCCGAGAAACAGGTGAATACGTGTCACAGTAAATTTTTGGTCACATGATCGTCGCCATTTTGGAACCGAAACACGGAAAATATTTATTTTGGAAAGTGAGCAGATTTCTTTAAAATATGGCTAGTAACGGGTTCCAAAACACTAGCTACAATGATAGACCACCCTCATCCACAGGAAGCGGCGAAGCAGATGTAGCTAGTGATCCAGCAAGCGGTGGATTCTTCTTGAACGACTACAAAAAGTAGGCGTATTTCTATTTCTTGATTGAATGAATGTCATGACATTTGATTTGCAAATCCTGTACTATAGATTCAGGTCATGCCATTTTGGAGTAATATTAGGTTAGTAGTTCTACAATAACTTTCTATCAGAACTAGAAATTGATTGGGGATATTGAATGGTAAATCCCGGTGAAATTCACAAATCATACTTCAGTTGTCACCACGACGGCGATGTTTCAAACGTTGACTTACATGTATGGGGAGTACTTCACTCATGGGGTACTTCTACCATGAGTTTATTCCGACAAATACCGATAATTCAGGTGTCCGCCATCTTGCATTAGATCCCACATTCAGTTTCGATTTCAGTTTATTCTTTAACATTTTTAAAAACAAACATGGCCTAGGATGACATGGACGTGGCGGACTTCGTGAATCGGAAATGTAAGCCAATTTTGAAATAGCCCCATGGTTGAAATAGTCCCATAACAAAGTAAACCCAAACATCAAAGTTCAACACATGTCCCTTGATAACCATATTGAACCTTACGTTATCAATCAAAAGTCAGAAAGATTGGCACTAGCATTAATGCACATTTTTTACCTCAATTGATTCCATCTTCAGCCTGAACATTCTCTCAAAGACAAAAAAAATTGCATAGGTATACACTTCAATATTTAAATTGGCCAGGACAGTGTATTTCAAAAAATCAGTCATCAACTTTGGAAATTATTTCCGAGTACACTATGGGCATTATCTAAGTGAGGTTACATTCTGAAATAACCATAATGTACATTAATTAGAATTGCATGTCCAAAGTTTGCTTTGTGGATTACATGTATGAGCTTAAGGTAACGCTAAAGTTAATCAAAAGTACAAAAACATGGCAGCCATATTTTTTTGATAAAGTCACAAGATTTTGTGTATCTGTTTTCCTTATATGTGAATGCACTGACTGACTAAAGAGACATGTCAAAGAAAATCTCACATTTAAACACAATTTTTATAACTATGAATTGGAGGTGCATGGGTATGGGTCCCTAAAGCTAGCATGGAGACAGTGAAGTGAGGATAACTTTTTAAAATTTCAAGGAGTAGGAGTGCAATGGAGACACATTTGTAAGACTCCAAAATTTCCACAAATCATCTTACCTTACCAAGGAACATCGAAGGAGCATGAAAATGTGTACTTCTTGCATTGTTAGAGTATAATAAAGCTCAAGCCATTGTGAATTCTAAATATCTCATGTCCACCATTTTCTAGTCAAAAGTAATCCTCACTTATAAATCCATTGTTTATCATTTATAAAGCCTCAATCATGATATTATACTGTTATAGATAAAATATACATGTACTTGTGATAATCCATCACATCATCCTCTATCATGATATTATACTGTTATAGATAAAATATACTTGTGATAATCCATGCCACTTAGTGAAATCACAAAACTTATATGAGGATTAATCAGGAAGTCTAGAAGTAGTTCCAGTAATCAAAATGGTGGACATGAAATGTTTATAAGAAACTATGGTTTGAGCTTTATCATACTCTAACAAAGCAAGAAGTTCACATTTTCATGCTCCTTCGATGTTCCTTGGTAAGGTAAGATGATTTGTGGAAATTTTGGATTCTTGCAAATGTGTGACTGTTGCAAGGCTACCCCTTGAAACTTTCAAAAATTATCCTCACTTCACACTCTCCATGCTACATGTAGCTTTGGGGTCCATGCACCTCCAATTCATAGTTATGAAAAATGCGTTTAAATGTGATGTTTTCTTTGACGTGTCTGTTTAGTCAGGAAATGCATTATCAAAATCTTATGACTTTATCAAAAAAATATGGCTGCCATCTTTTTGTACTTTTGATTAACTTTAATTTCACCTTTAAAGCTACCATCTTCAAAATATATTTTCTCTGTTATGCTTGAGTTGAATAGATTTGGTTGGAAGTTTAGAAATACTATAATGTAAAAAGTGATTTTGATAACTTTTAATAAAATCAGAAACTGAAAGATTTTATATCATGGTGGCTTTGCAAGAAGTGCTGTGTATGATACGTCACAATGATATGGACTTTATCATTCAGCAGAAATTACCAGAAAAAATGAAAATGTCGTTGCACAGTCCAGAATCCAAGTTTGTTGGGATATTTCTCAGATTCTGATTTGCATGTAGTCCAACAACATTAGACCTAGCCTGGGCCTCTTTTCTTATCTGACATGTCTTATGGCCCGGCTAGGTCTAACCTCCATGACCATTTTGCCCTTGATGTGTTAATTTAGTCGTTCAGCAGGTTCCGACATGCGGAACTAATTAAACTCCGAAAACATGGTAATATTACATAAAGAATGTGATTCAAGCATGCATACATACCTTATAAATACATACACACCATCCCGTACCCCCCTTAGACCATATTGATGCATAATTACGAAAATATTGGAGACAGGTTTGGAATTTTACGAAAATATCGGTCAACTCCGGTAACATCGAAATTGCAAATCGTATCAGGAATTAACCGTCATTGCGACACTGCATCAACGAACAGTAGGTTTGCAATTAATAACTATTTTTTGTGTATACAAGCGCTATATAAATCAATCAAAGATACCTGCTATCCTCAAAAATAGTTATTTTATCCCGAGTAATCGCGTGATAATTATCAATCTATTTGACAACAATTTCGTTTCAATAGTTTAAATTTTAACCCGGGACGAACAGACACAATGGCGGACATGCGGAAATGTCATTTTAGAGATTGGTAAGTCTAACCTCATTTTACTTGTATAAATGACCATTTAATACAATAATATTGTGTTTAATCGCTTGATGTTATGTGTTTTTATATTGTTGTCAAGTATCAGTTGCATGTTATCGCGGAAAAATGGTTTCGGTGGATCCAAAACTTGCATCAATGAAAAGAATAGTAAGGAGGTTAAACTCAATAATGGCCCCAAGAAAATTCTTAATTATAAATAACGCCGTTATTGAGTTTAACGACGTTGAACTAATTTGCATGCAGTATAAGCTCATCAATGTTTTTAATGACAATTGTGCAGCCAATGCAAGAATCAATCTGACAATTCAAAGCTCATTGTCTAATTATTCTGCATTTTAAATCTCAATCGCTATTGTACTGTAAGTAGAAATAAATAATTAAACTTTCCTCCATTGACAAATGACAAGCCTAAAAAGAATATAATTTTGCCACACAGAAATCTTTCTGTCAGATCCAAGAATGTTTTGTATTTCTGCAACAGTTGAAACAATAAACAGAGAAATAGTTCTAATTTGCATTTTATATGAGATTTATTTTTTAGACATGAAGACTTAAAGATCATGCTGGATGGGAACAAAGACAATTTGAAGTTAGAGGCAATGAAGCGCATTATTGGGGCAAGTACATACGAATGACATATATATGTAAAACTCTATATGTGTTGTTTTTAATGCTGAAAGATCAGTGTGTGTGTTAGACATTTCATATTTAAAAGCAGATTGATTGTTTGAAAACTGGAAAGTTGACAGTTGTCCTTTTGCCTTTGGTTAAAAACATAAATCATTATACATATTTTTATGTTTGAATCTTTTGTACAATTGTTAAAGATTCTCGCAATCTTTATCCAATCCGCGTTTGCGAGTGTGTCGGCTCACGTATAAAAGGCGAATCCAACTCAAATCCATGCAGGGGTGTATGAGGTACTCGAATATGAAAGAGCTCGTGAAATCTGAATTTATATGCACATGGTCAATGTTTACACATGTTTGGAGTTATTGAAGAAAATGTGATATGGGTGTGGTTCCGGATTTGAAGTCATTGCTGGAAAATATGATTTTAATACGTGAAATTATATCTATAAATACAGCACTAAAAATAACAGTACACTATATACATGTCTGATTGTGTCCAGAAATGTTTGAAACCCTTACGGAAAATTCTGTCTACATTTTGTCACCATTGCTCTTTCTTCCCGCATTCTAGTGCTGTTTGAATGAATATATTAATTAATGTATTTCTAACACAAATATATCACTTTTTTTATAAACCAAAAACATTTAGATCATAAAAAATGATTCAATACTTGAGTGAGCACGATATGCAAGGGTTACTAAGTTGACACAGTAAATGACCACTGATATTGTGTTAGTCCATGCACACAGCGTATTCTGCTAAGGCCATAAGAAGTAGATCCTCTGTTTTGCGTCCCCTTGCTTGCACGATTTTGAGTAAATCAGAAAAAACACATCCAAATAGCAATCACAAGGGTCTGAAAGTACCATCGCATTTCAGAATCAGATGAAATGGCGGATAATTTGATGTGCGTCAAAATTGACAGTGTTATAATTATTTGACATACATTGTGTTTTTTCTTATTTTTTACCCTTGAATAATAGCTATATTTTTATATATTGTATAAAATGTATAGATATGTGTTTGTAATCACTGCAAATTGGGATGTCATCCTTTTTTATGCCCCTAAAATGTATATATTTCTCAGCAAACAAGTTTGTGTTTTTTTCTTGAGTTTGTGTTTGTTTTCCTTGTACCCTTGCATGATTTGGATTTTGCCAGGACGCAAAACAAAGAATCTACTTCTTATGGCCTAATATACATTTGTTAACACCCCCACTTTCATAGTGAAGTGACTAATTGGTTTATGTTTACGTTTTAATGTGTTTTGGGTTCCTTGTTACAGCAAGGGGGGCCAGTAAAGTAGACTAACATGTTTGCATGGCAAATTTTGATCGAATATGTGAGACACTTTAAATGAGATATTTTTTAAATATGTTTTTTTCTTTATAGCCGGGTTAATTTTTATTCTTTTTATTTAGATGGTTGCAAAAGGCAAGGATGCCTCAGATCTCTTCCCAGCTGTTGTCAAAAATGTGGTGTCCAAAAACATTGAGGTAAAGTTATTTCATCAATATGCAAGAGGATTGGCTCCCAGAGTGCAACATCGATACTCTGTTCCATATATGGACATGTCGTGATACAAAATTTGAATTCAAACAGCTGCCATTGTGTTCACTTCAACATTTGAATCGTGAATTTTGGTTTTATTTTTTAATGAAAATGCCAAAATGATTGAGATATTGGTTCGAATCCTTTGGACTGTTTATTTTTAACTTGTAGTCGGTTATAATTTAAGAAAATAATGACATTTTGATGTTTTCATTGTTGGAAAATATCGAGTTTCGATCCTGGTAGCCAATCCTCCTTGATCATAATGGTAAAATCTCAGTTTACTGATATCAAGCATTTAAATATTGTTTATCATGATGCATTGGTGTTTAGATCAATCAATTACTGCTAAAAATGTGATTTAATTCAAACCAGTAGCCACAAAAACTGTATAAAATTATTGCATTATTTTAACATTGCTCCCTATGTAATACCTTACTGTTGGTTTCTTATGTGATTTCAGGTGAAAAAGCTTGTGTATGTCTACCTGACTCGCTATGCTGAGGAACAACAAGATCTTGCTTTACTGTCAATCAGCACATTCCAGAGAGCTCTAAAGGTAGAAGTCACTATTTATTTACTTATTCTATTCATCATTTTAAACATCAAAAGTATTGAACTGGTAACATTTTGCAAGACATTGATTTTTTGGCTAACAGCTGAGCAATGAATAATTAAAAATACAGCGCATGTATAAAAAATATCAATACTGTACAATGTTTTATATCATCAAGGCATAATTTGAACAGTTTTATTAAAGAGCTAATTAAAATTCAGATTTTTAAGGGGACAACATTAAATTGTTTTCTTAGTATATGTAGCACAACTGGGCAATTAGAAATACATGTATAGTAAACAAATGTTAAACATCAATATGGTAAAATGTTTATATAATCTCATTTTATGTTGTTTCAGGATCCTAACCAACTAATCCGTGCCAGTGCTCTGAGAGTGTTATCCAGTATTCGTGTACCTATGATAGTTCCTATCATGATGTTAGCAATTAAAGACTCTGTAAATGATATGTCGCCATATGTACGTAAAACAGCAGCTCATGCTATACCAAAGCTGCATAGTTTGGATGATGAACAGAAAGATTCACTAGTTGAAGTCATTGAGAAACTTCTTGCAGACAAAACTACAGTAAGTGTGGAGTTGGGGGAAATATCTGATGAATTTCAATGTGATTTTATATGTCGCACTATGACTTAGATTACTATTTATTTGAAACTTTTAAAAGGGGTGGCTTTAATCCAAGTCTGATTATCATCAACATATTTTTCAACAACATATCATTTTTCTAAAAATTTTACATTATCTCTGTGATATAATTTTTTTTTTAACTATCAATATGCCCACTAATCATATTTTCCTATGCTATAGCTGTCTGAAACCTATTTTCGTACTTTTACAGGTTTCTCATGTGTTTTTGATATTTTTACATACTCTGTATATTTGCTCTATTTCTAGCTCGTAGCAGGCAGTGCAATACAAGCCTTTGAAGAGGTGTGTCCAGAGAGAATAGATTTGATCCACAAGAACTACCGCAAACTGTGTAACCTCCTGGTGGATGTGGAAGAGTGGGGACAAGTCGTCATTATTAATTTATTAACACGCTATGCAAGACTACAGTTCATCAATCCAAACAAATATGTAAGTTAATTAACTGTCTTTTATTGACAAATGTCCCTTGGTGTTCTGGTCCTGGATTGTGATATTGGTTCTCGATTGGAGAGGGGAAGGGGGATGTTAGACTTTATTTCTTTTAATGTGAGATCATGGTTTTCGAATATATAGGGTCTAGGTTTCTTTATAGTTTTTGGTCCTTTCCCTTTGGCATTTGTGCTTTGATATTTACTAAGTAGTGTGATTTATTGGATATTAGAGAAAATCTGAGAATTGTCAAGAGGATGTCAAGATGGTTTTATGTGCATACACCTACCTATTCAAAGAAAAAACTGCATAAAGTACATTATAACTCTTTTGATTTGTTGCACTCATGAAGATCAAAAGAAGGGCAGTTTCCCAGAGGGTTCTTATTCTACATAATATAAGTTGATCTGAATTATTCCATTTGAGCTATTATTGTGTATCATTCATGTACAATGACATATTACAGGAAATGGAAGATGATGAGAACAAACCATTTTACGAGTCAGAAGCTTCCAACAAAGCAAGCTCCGATGATGAATCTGATAAACCCAAAAAACCTGTCTACGTCATGGATGCTGACCATAGACTTCTTCTAAGAACATGTAAACCTCTGTTAAATAGCCGGAATGGCTCTGTTGTCATGGCAGTGGCCCAGCTCTACCATCATTGTGCTCCTAAGGGAGAGGTTGGCCTGGTTGCTAAGGCTCTAGTCAGGCTACTGAGAAGTAACAAGTAAGAGACTGTACAATATGTAATGAGGTGTTGATGCATTAATATCTCAACAAGTTTTTGTCAATGGGGTGTGAAATCATAATTTTATATGTTTGGTGAAAAGTTCAAAGAGATTGTGAATGGAATGGTTTATCTTTCTGTGTCACAAACAGACGGGGTTTGGTGTTCAGCAGTCATCAATCAGCATATGTAACAAATGACAGGTGGTGACATGCCTGTTGCTCTAAAGCTTGTGAGATCATTGTATCTTATATTCATGAGCAGTATCCAAGATAATAAAGCCCCCCTCATCATATTATCATTTCCGCTGCAAATCAGTCAAATTGAGAGATGATGCATGTCAAGTAATTTTTATGTATTTTTTATTTCAGAGAAGTGCAATATGTAGTGTTAAGTAACATAGCCACTATGTCCCTCAAACGTAAGGTAAGATTCTCACCTAAAGCAGGTATTATTATGTAACATCCAAATCCTTTGAATAGAACTGACAGACATGAAGTATTCACTATTCAGTTTAAGTTGCAAGTGGTGAATTTATTTTGTAATGTTTTTGTATGCATTTATTCATCAGTTCATTTCTTGTTCCCATTTACCTTGCACCATATTTCTGTGATTATTTTTGTTATTATATGTGGGTGTAATGTGTTTTTATGCATTTATTCATCAGTTCATTTCTTGTTCCCATTTACCTTGCACCATATTTCTGTGATTATTTTTGTTATTATATGTGGGTGTAATGTGTTTTTATGCATTTATTCATCAGTTCATTTCTTGTTCCCATTTACCTGGCACCATATTTCTGTGATTATTTTTTTGTTATTATTATATGTGGGTGTAATGTGTTTTTATGCATTTATTCATCAGTTCATTTCTTGTTCCCATTTACCTTGCACCATATTTCTGTGATTATTTTTGTTATTATATGTGGGTGTAATGTGTTTTTATGCATTTATTCATCAGTTCATTTCTTGTTCCCATTTACCTGGCACCATATTTCTGTGATTATTTTTTTGTTATTATTATATGTGGGTGTAATGTGTTTTTATGCATTTATTCATCAGTTCATTTCTTGTTCCCATTTACCTTGCACCATATTTCTGTGATTATTTTTGTTATTATATGTGGGTGTAATGTGTTTTTATGCATTTATTCATCAGTTCATTTCTTGTTCCCATTTACCTTGCACCATATTTCTGTGATTATTTTTGTTATTATATGTGGATGTAATGTGTTTTTATGCATTTATTCATCAGTTCATTTCTTGTTCCCATTTACCTTGCACCATATTTCTGTGATTATTTTTGTTATTATATGTGGGTGTAATGTGTTTTTATGCATTTATTCATCAGTTCATTTCTTGTTCCCATTTACCTTGCACCATATTTCTGTGATTATTTTTGTTATTATATGTGGGTGTAATGTGTTTTTATGCATTTATTCATCAGTTCATTTCTTGTTCCCATTTACCTTGCACCATATTTCTGTGATTATTTTTGTTATTATATGTGGGTGTAATGTGTTTTTATGCATTTATTCATCAGTTCATTTCTTGTTCTCATACCTTGCACCATATTTCTGTGATTAATTTTGTTATTATATTCCAAGCTAAAACTGACACACTCATTTGTTGCAGGGCATGTTTGAACCACTGTTGAAGAGTTTCTATGTTCGTTCCAACGACCCAACACACGTGAAACTGCTCAAGCTAGAAATCCTTACTAACCTGGCTACAGAGACATCCATTTCTACAATACTTCGGGAATTTCAGGTACAATTTACAGCATTTCAATCAACTTCATCCTCCTTCTTTGCAATCATTCATTTGTTATTTTTTATTTTTACATAATGTGGGCCCAGTACTCATGGTCCTATTTATTTGTCATTGCAAAAAATATTTACCGCTTACAGATTGTATATCTGGTGTCCCAAAAAATTGAATCGCTTTTTTACAAGTGTTTGTCAAAAAAAGTTTTGATGACAAACAAACATATTTTCTAATATTTCTCCATTTATTCCATGTATGTAGACTTATGTGACCAGCTCTGACAAAGAGTTTGCAGCAGCCACCATTCAAGCAATAGGACGATGTGCCAGTAGCATAGCTGAAGTGACAGATACATGCCTAAATGGCCTTGTCAGTCTCATGTCTAATAGAGATGGTAAGATAACACCCTGTAAATAATCTTCTCACAAGCCGCATCTTCAAGCCATTTATGTTTTAATGAGAAATAAAGGTAAATCTGGGAGTAATACATGTACATGTACTAGAGAATAAAAGTTTCAGACTTATTTCAACTTCAATCTTATTTGTTGACCTGTGCCACTGTCTTAAGTTTTACCTAGCTAGTGGGACAACATCTGGACCATTGTGTGTATCTGACTCCAATATATGATCAGTTCTAATCAAATAAATTGTAAACCAGCTGTATGGAAAGTAGTTCATTTTGAAATCGAATGAGGAGTCTCATGGGAAACTGAATGTCGGTGTTCTCAATATTAGAGATGATACTGATAACACAATTTATAAATGATGAACTGTCATGTAACTCAGCCTATGTTCAAGGATGCATTTCGTGTTTCAGAATCTGTGGTTGGTGAAAGTGTTGTGGTTATAAAGAAATTGCTTCAAATGAAGGTAAGTTATGAGTAGTCTAATTTGCAATGTATTTGAAAGAATTGAATTGGTAATAGTAACTTCATTTGGTATTTCATATTAATGTTTTCATATTAGTTCTCGATTTCTGAACTATGGAATTAATACGTGGACTTCTTTATCTTATTCTCTTGTTTCCTTTATAATTGGTTTATGTCTGTTTAACTGTGTTGCAGTAGTGTCGCATGTTAAACTGTATTTCCTTACGAAAATATTTTGTTCTCATCTTTTAAATAATATTTTCAAAATAATAAAACAAATTAGCCAGCAGGACATAAAGTGGTATGCATGATTTTGTTATTTCCCATCACAACTAATCTTAGTCATATTTAAGTGTTACAAGTTGTTCCAAGTGTATTATTACAACCTTTGTAATATTTAAAGAAATTTACCAGAATATATCACTTCAAATAAGCAGAACAGTAAGCATAAATTTACTTTTGGAACACCTTGTATGTTCAAATTGCCCCACAATAAATATATGTTTTGATAAGGTTTTTGTTTGGAATGTGTGTGACGATTACCCTTTTGTGAGCTAATTTTATATGAATGTGGTTAAGGTTTAGGTTTTCAGTGTCAGGTAATGGTTTCAGTTGGAATTCTTTCTACGTCTTAAACAATGTTGGTTTGTGTACTTCTCATTTTATGCATGCTACAAAATGAGATCTGGTAAAAGAGTTCAAATTGGGTGTAATCATTGTATTGTTCAACGATTAAACTATTATTACTCTGATAACTACTCTCTGCATACACACAGTGTCAAAATTTCATGTTTGAATCTGTTGAAATTTCATTAAGATTTTGTAGATGATATTGAGAATATTAAGTCAGTGAAGTTTGACTCACAGACTCAGAGATGTAAGCTATGAATCCAAGGAGATACAGAGATGTTTATTTTTCAGAAATGCAAGGTGTCTATGTTTAATTCTCAATAATACATGTAATGCTTGATTAATGTTCTAGCCATCAGAGTACAAGGACATCATCGTTCACCTTGCCAAGATGGTAGATGAGATCTCAGTGCCTATGGCAAGGGCTTCCATCTTATGGCTCATAGGGGAATACTCCGACAGGGTCCCAAAGATTGCCCCTGATGTACTAAGGAAACTAGCAAAAAGCTTCATATCTGAGGTAATTTTTTGTTGTCATTGACCTATAATGACCAAACTATAATGACCAGGTTTTATCATCAGAATATGCAACACAATTATAGCAGTTTCATGTAGTGTAAAGATTAGTTGTATTTATGCTTTGGTTTAATCATTATTTCCATGAGTATCTTCTATTTGTACACCACATAAAATATTATAACAGTTCGAATTTTTATCTACTAAGCTTTTCATTTTGGTTTCACAGAGTCGATTCTATTATGTATCATTTAAACCCGTTTTGGGATTTTTTTATCATGGTCCTTTGAATACTAGTCTTGTTCTTACTAACTATCTTTTTTGATTATATTAGGAAGATATAGTCAAACTACAAGTCCTTAACCTGGCAGCTAAATTATGTATCACCAATTCAAAGCAGACCAAACTTCTCTGCCAATACGTCTTCAACCTCGCCAAGTATGACCTCAATTATGACATCAGAGACCGGGCACGTTTCTTGCGTCAGCTTATCATTCCCAATGAGAAGTCAGGAGCACTGGCAAAACATGCAAAGAAGATTTTCCTCTCTAGTAAACCTGCCCCTGTGCTGGAGTCAAAGTTTAAAGGTGAAATATTTTGCACTTGTTTTATGTTCATGAGATATACGGTATGTTATATGGGTGGTTAATACCTGATCTTACTATTGCGCAGAATATATTGTGAGACTAGTGTGAGTGAATGACTTTATTACCATAACTTAACAGTTTAGTCCTTAGTCTGGCAGGTAGATGTTTGGGGGTGGAATCTCAGTTTTCTTGTATTCACATAAGCATACAAATTATGAATTGTTTGTTTTTATGTGCCTTAGGTCCATAAATTCACCAAAATAATTTCATTTCAAATGGACCAATTTAATCTCAGTAATCTCTCCAATTCGGGTAAATTATTTAAATGCAATAACAGTCATGAATGTTTTTTCCAGATCGTGATGTCTACCAACTAGGGACATTATCCCACGTCCTGAATGTCAGAGCAACAGGATACCAGGAGATCCCTGATTGGCCAGATGTTGCACCTGACCCCAGTGTACGTAACGTTGAGGTTGAAATCCCATGGAAAGACAATCTACTGGGAACTCGAGACAGTAAGAAAGGAAAGAAAAAAGAGAAGAAAGAGAGAGGATTTTACTCAGAGTCAGAATCCAGTGAGGAAGGTATGTGCTTTAAGATATCAATGTATTTATTGCAAAGTTTATTAAATGGAGCTCCAATCCCTTGCACATGTTTGTTGAACCTTAAAAGACATTCACTCAATTGAGTGTTTTTATAACTAACTGGCTTTTTGAATTCTGCCTTAATGAATTGTTGCCATTTGACTGAAACACAAAGGGCTGGAACGTCACATCATGAGACTCTGGAAAAATATGTCAAACCATTGAAGAAATATCTTTTGACCTTGGGTTTAGAATATAGGCATCACAAACATTTTCTGTTTCTTTCAGAAGAGTCTACTACAAGTGGAAGCAGTGAAAGTTCAGAGGATTCAAGTGAGGACAGCTCACAATCAGAGGAGGAGGAAGAGGAGGAGAGCGAATCAGAAGAGGAGACAGAGTCAGATGACTCAAGTGGAGTTGAGGACATTGCTGGTAAGGAATATTGAAGTATAAGTGGGTGAGGTGTGAGTCCAGCAAACATTCTTCAGGACAAAGGTTGAGTTTGGTTAAGTCAGCTTGACTGATCTTGATTAATCAGAAGTTGACTTTCAATAACTGAGATTGGCCACTGCTCACCTGTTAAGCAATATCTTATGTGGCAGTATGTATTCATTACATTTTTATGTCACCACCAAAAGTGATAACATATTTCTATGAATGTTCATCTCTCTGGTAGTAATGTACAAAGTTGTTGATTTTCTTTCTCAGAGATATTTATTTTTTCTTTTTGACGTTTCGTAGGATGTCCATCCTACTTCTTCAGAAATAAAATTATATTTGAATCAAACTGAAATAATTAATTATTACATAACAATGAGACAAATAGCAACCGTTACTATAGAAAACTTCATTGAAAACATATTGTTATCGTCTCCAACTTTTGTGGACAGCGTTTGGTGGTCAGTGTCTGTTACAGATGTCTGTAACAAATGGCAGGTGGTGACATGTTATATGCATTGTTTGAACATATTGTACATGGTAAACAATTTCTATTAGTTATCAATCAGAAATATATGCTACAAAGTCCTTGTACATATATTTTACAAATGAATTTAAGTTATATAGAGTGCCATATGGTATTCCAGATTACTGGAATTGGGTTGATTCATAGATAGCTATTTACACTGCATGTTGTAAATGTTTCAATGAAATGACAATCATAAATATTTAATTTCTTTGTAGTATCTCTCAAACCTAAAGCAGTAGCAGTACCTGTTAAAGCAGGTGTCAATCACAAAGCTACACAATCTGAGTCAGGATCCTCATCTGAATCGTCATCATCATCCAGTGAGGAGAGTTCAAGTGAAGAAGAGGTGGTTGTCAAGAAGGTATGTATGTTTGTCCATGAATACCTACGTTTCATGGAGATAACATTGGGATCTATATAATATATTTGTAAGCTGGCTCAATTTTCCATTCTCAGCGACCGTTATTTGACAAGGGTTGGTGAAATATTGATCATGTGATGACATTGAACTACTTTTGGCAGCCTCTAACAGATCTGGGATAGTTTTAACACATCTGATAATAATCATAATATGCCCAATCAATTCATCCCTGACTCTGATATTGTCCTAATTGTGTATTTATGAAAACTCCTTAGATACTACATTTTTTTCACTGTCCATGTGCCTCGTTTCCCAGTTTCATGTATTCTAATACTTTTTCATTACAGCCAACAAAGAAAGAAGCAAGCAAATCAAAGACTAGTACAAAAAAAGCCAGCAATAAACAGGCTGCTGCAATGTTACTTGACCTGGATGACTTTGGTCCTGCAGCAAATAACAACAAAACCAATGGGAACAACAAAACTAACAGTACTATGGACCTACTTACCCCTAGTCTTTCCTCAGATCTTAGTAACATGTCTATCAGTGGGTCAACCCCTGTCTCAATGGTAAGAATATGCTAGATTGCATCTAATGTAGGTTTGAACTATGTACTGAGGTTATTTTGGCACTTTTTAATTTGGCAACTGCCAATCAAGTCATAACAAGTTCGTTATTTTTTTAATGAACCTCATGTCTAAGTAGTCATCAGTTCATATTAAGATGAATTTCAATATTCCTGTATATAATGCAATATTAAGTGAAAATAAATGTTGGAGTTTAGTATCAAGAATTGTTGATTGTTTGGAGCAATCTAAGGTTATTTATAGTACATAATTTATATTTGTAGGTATCATCTCCGATCCAAGTACAACGAGTACAGCACGACTTACTTAACCGTATCACAGGCAATGGTTTAGGAATATCATATGCATTCACACGCACAGTCTCTGTATTCTCACCTAAACTGGTCTCCATAGAGCTGACTTTTAACAATACAAGTGAAAATGAACTTAAAGGAATAAAAATAGGCGAAAAGGTAATTTGGGCAATTTGAATTGTTTCTCTTCTATTTGAGGGTCCTGTTCTATTTAACTTTTTTATCACACCACTGTTTTATTTATGCATTTCTATGGATAATCATGATTTTCTCATGGAATTTTGAAATTAATTTTAAAAAGGATACAAACTTACCTAGAATTCTACACTTATTAATACGCTTTCAAAAATTTATGTTCTAACCTAGGCCTAATTCAGCTTATTAGCCATGCATATTTAAGGTGCCATGGAAGTTAACAGGAAATGACAAAACAGGAAGGTTATTTCATCATGTTTAGGGTCATTCTGACCATGTACATTGTGATCCTGGCCATGTAAATGATATGTGGAAATAGTTAAATTGACTTGAGGTCAAACCAGAACTCTGTTATCTTTGTTCAAAAAATGTATAAAAATGCAAAATTTTTTGTCACTTCCTGTTTTGTCATTTCCTGTTAACTTCCATAGCACCTTAAGGGCAGAAAGATGCCAAACTCTAACTCCCAATTACTGGGGTGACACTTGCGTCACATATGGGTTATAGGGATCATTTTTCATGAAAAACTAAAGTGAAATTATTCTTATCTTTCAGAAACTTCAATCTGGCATGGAAATGCAGGACTTTCCCGAGATTACCTCCCTCGGGAAAAATACTTCCACATCTGCAATATTGGGGGTGAACTTTTGTGATACCACGCAACCTGCTAAATTTGAAATTATTGCTAGTGAAAAAGCATATAATGTTAGCATCAATGCGCCAGTTGGTGAATTACTTCAACCGTTTACGATGAATGAGAAAGAATTCATAACTCAACAAGGTAAGAACTTAGAAGGCATGAAATTGTCCCAAATGTTCATTAAAAAATAATCTGAGTTATTTCAAAAAGCCTAATTGCATGTTTGGTGAAAAACTTTGATTCACTTTATTTCCAGTTCAAGATTTTACTGATTAAAATTCAATAAAGAAATTGATGGAAGAGCTAATGTTTAATGTCTTGTAGTTATTGATTGGTCATTAGACATTCAAAGTTCTTTACCAAACATGGTTCTTTGATATCAACTGTGCTTTAATGAAGTGATCACTTTTAGACCCTTAAATGGATAGGCTATAGAGAAACATCAAAAGTTAGGGGGTCTCCAACTTTTTCTGTGAATGGTATTTGGGTGGTTGCTGTTCAACGGTTATCATCTGTAACAAATGGGAGGTGGTGAGATTTTGCATGTTAATGCCTCTTATGCTATTATTTATGATTCCAGGAAAATTAGCTGGCATGAACGAGAACTCTGGAAAGACTGAACTGCCAGAGAACAAGAGTGATTCCCAAACTATAAATGAGAGAATATTAACAGTTGCCAATGTCCTCCAAGTCCCATCTACAACAGACAATACATACAGATATGTGGCTAAGACAATGTCAGAATCCGCTCTTTTACTTGTCACTATAAAAGTAGCAGAAGATAGAAAAGCAACGATAACAGTGAATTGTGAAAAAATGGTGATTTGTTCGATGTTAGTTAAAGATATTAAACAGATACTCAGCAAGAAGTAAATATTGGAGGAAAACTGTCAATATGAACAAATATTATAAATCCAGAAACATTAAATGGCTGCTAATCTGGGAGGTGCTTCTTCTACAGTTACCTCATGTGAAAGTTTAACTAGGCCTAAATACTTTAAAATGATATAGAAGGCAGTTCATAAATAGAAAATTGTTTAAAGGCAAGGATGCAACAGTGTCATCCCAGATCAAGTTACTTTGAATTAATGCCTGTTGATTTTTATTATGACTTGTAAGATTATGTGTCAATGGCTCTGAAATTCTATTTTGACCATTTATGAAATCCTTTAGATACATTTTGGGGTCCACTCCAGTAATTCATTAATTTTCTGTAAAATGAATTTAAGTAAAGTACTCTCATATGGTAAATACTTTAATAATAAATATGTTGCCATCATTCCAACTTTTTTGTCAACCATATTTATGATAAAAGAAAATCATTTCATTTCTATATATTAGGTCTGAATTTTTATTTCTCTAATTTCTATATTTTGGGAAAATTACAAATCTATCTGTGTCAGCAATCATGTTATGTTACTTGATACGTCAAATAAATTGCATATTATTGTTAATCATTTATTTACTTGTTTTGTGTTGGCGTTTTTTTGAAATGCAACAAATTATTATATACAGAATATATGTGTATTAATTATACAAAATGACTAATTTTACTGATTGCATATAAGACGTGGAAAATTAAAATGAACTTCACTCTGAAATCACAAAAAGCATCTCTGTATTTTTTGTTGGTTAAAGTATTTATTTCAAAATACTAAAAATATATAACAGTAAAAATTCAGCATTATTAAGGTAGGCAAAGAAGAATGAGTTAAACTTCAATAGCTTTATACCAATCTTTTATGTCACGCGCAAATAGCACCAACAATTAAACATTAATGGGCTCATTTTAACAGTAAAACATGTGAAAAATGAACAACTTTCAAGCCACAAAAAGTAATCACTATAAGCAAGGGTAGTATTATCTAAGCAAAGTGAAAGTGAGGTGTTCACTAAGGCAGGTTTTACTTTGTAACAAGAGTGGGGTTAGATCATTGTTCATCAAAAAATGATTCAATATCCAATGTTTTCCAGTCCAATTTCAATGTTATCTAAACATCTTCTATGCAGTTTCATTTTCTTCATCAGCATGTACAAGGTATCCATTGAATGAAGATCTTATGTCCATTGTGATGAAATAATTCTCTGTGACATACACAGCTACTCTATCTCCTGTCTTAAGGTGAGTAACTAGGGAGTTGCTGCCTCTCTGAAAACATCAAAATATGTATTATGTGTACACATGAAACAAGTAAACATGAAACAAGTAAACATGAAATGTTGAATGAACCCATTTTTCAATTGCTTTTTATTATATATAGAACTGGAAAGCTATTGACTTCAGCTATTAATATAATAAACCAAGGTTTGTCTGCTCTTTTAATGGGTAAATTTCACAACAAATCAGTAACCCAAAATCAGCAATTTAAAAATATTAGTGAAAGCAACCTCCGTAAAATATTCTTATCCTTACGTTTGGCTCCGTGAGGAAGCTCATCTGGAAGATTCTGCGTCTGTTGTTTCCATTGATTCGCAGATATGCGTCAAATCCATCATCAGTACCACCAGTGCTAAATGATTGTAAATTGTAGTCAATATAGTAATGCCCGCTTACTGGACACACAAATTCTCCTGAAAATAATATTGAAATACATGGACATCAAACAATGATTTGACAGAGAGAATGTACATGTACTGGCATAATCAGATTTTAAACAAATGCACCAAAATGAAATGTGTAAATGTGACAAAATAAATTTATTTCTCAATTACAATCACAATCATGCCTTTTGTAGAACAAGAATGTAAGTTTTAATTTCACATGAAACAGGTGATCCTATTAACAAGACATCGAATTGATATGGCTCTAATTAAGACTAATTACCTGTAGTAACATTGTATCCACCACCCTTGTTCAGTTCTACATTGTCAAACTTGACATTAGTGTTTGGTGTAGACCATGTTCTAAGTGAATGTGTTAAAGAAAAGGCAACAAATCCAGCTGAAATACAAACAAATCACATGTACTCGTAGGTATATCTATGAGCAAGACATGACGTGATAAATACTGTACTTTTTATTAAAGAATTCAAAATGGCCATCATGTCCAAAACCATGGGCTTTCAAGAGATCAGATTTTGGCACTAGTCTGTTCTTGCATCTATAAAAATAAGTTGAACAGGCAAGCAGTTTTTCTGAAATTTTTTTATGTGGTGCCCACCTGACCACCCAGTTGGATGCACACCCATCAGCACAAGTATTAAGGTACTTTGAAAATAATGTGATGTAGCGTTTTCTTATTGACTATCAAATGGTTTAACAAGGCATTAAAATGACAAAATGTCAACACCTAGTTGCTCACATTACATTGTAGATAATTTTAAAAAATGGTCAATTCGAAGCAAGTTGAAAAAGTACCTTTTTGACCTTGAGATTATCATTGAAGGTCAAATCTATAATCAGATTTGAACTTTTGAGAACTTCTAGATGAATTTGATTGATCAATTTGAAGCAAGTTGAAAAATACCTTTTTGACCTTTTTTGACCCTGAGAAGGGTCTAAAGTCAGATTTGAACTCCTGATAACTTGTTGATGATTTTGAAAAAAACATTTGGTCAATTTGATTGAAAATTTCAAATCTTATGTCAGATTTGAACTTCTGATAACTTGTAGATGATTTCGAAAAAAAATGTGGTCAATTTGAAGCAAGTTGAGAAAATACCTTTTTGACCCTTTTTATCTTGAGAAGGTCAAATCTTTTTTGACCCTGAGAAGGTCAATGAAGGTCAAATCTCAATTCTAAAGTCATATTTGAACTTCTGATAACTTGTAGATGATTTTGAAAAAATTGGTCAATATGAAGCAAGTTGAAAAAATACCTTTTTGACCTTTTTTGACCTTGAAAAGGTTACTGAAGGTCAAATCTTGAATAAAAAGTCAGATTTGAACTTCTAACAACATGTAGATGATTTGAAAAAACTGAAGTCCGTCTAAACAGTATTTGTTAAGTTATTGGAAGTTTTGTTACATTACAATTTGTTACAGACACCAAACGCTGATCACCAACCGCCGTAAAAAAAACAGAGACCATAACAATATGTCACCACTTTTTGATGGTGACATAAAAACAGAAATTGATGGTCTATTCCCATGCAATGTCTGTCTCAAACATGTGGCATCACCTGGCCACACCTAAATTAAACAACTGTACACTGAAGGTAAAATTCTTACGCTTGCAACTTATTGGAACATCTGACCAGGTCCCATCTGCTTGACAAACAATCTCCTCACTCCCTCCTTGGCTTCTGTCATACCTGCAAATTGTACAGTGTAAAGGGTGACAGTGAGAAAGAATCTACAACCTATACTTAGAGTAAAATGGTTCATGAATTAATAAACAACTAGAAAACAGCAACTTCACGGAGTAGCCAATCCCATCAAAAAATGTTTTGATAATAGTGGCCATCTTCTTGAATTTCTTCTTGAACAGTTCTCCCTTGTCACTAGGTATCAGCATATAAAATGTGAACCACATCTGTCAACTGGTATTTGAGTTATCAAAGATTTTTTTTATGAAAAATGGCAGCCAATTTAAATTCAGGTGCCATCTTGGAAATTTCTTCTTGAACAGAGCTCCTTTATCTGAAGGCATTAGCATATAAAATTTGAACCAAATCTGTCCACTAGTGTTTGAGTTATCAATGCTTACGTTTCTTTACAAAAAATGGTGGCCATTTTGAAATTCAGTTCCTAAGCATCAGCATATCAAGATTGAACCAAATCCTTCCAGTTGTATTTGAGTTATCAAAGATTATGTTTTCTTAACAAAAAATGGCAGCCATTTTGAAATTTGGTAACCATCTTGAAAATATCTTCTTGAGCGGAGTTTCCATGTCTTTAGGCTATCAGTATCAGTATATTGAATTGGAACCAAATCCATCAACTGGGATTTAACTTATCGAAGGCTATGTACGAAGAAGTTATCAAGGATTTATTGTTTTTACCAAAAAAATGGTGGCCATTTTGAATTGAGCGGCATATTGAAAATACCCTCTAGAGCAGAGGTCCTACACCCATAAGGCATATGCCTATACAATTTAAACCAAATCTGTCAACTAGTATTTGAGCTATTGCCTGGACACCCGAATGGACAGATGGATGGATGGATGGACAGATGGCTTTTCTATATCCCCCTTGAACTTCGATTGGTGGGATAATTAGGCACACAGTGCAAGTGCAAGTACAAGTTGTAGTTTTCATTTAGTACATAGTATTATTGAAATCCCCTTGAAATCTTACTCCTTATTATTTTCAAACCACTGATAACTCAGGAAATTGAAAATAAATATTCAAATACTTACTTGTACAACAAATTACCAAAAGAAAGAACAGTATATGACAAAACTGTTTCATGGTAACCATGTTCAAATTTTCAAAAACCCATCTCTATTTTGAATTTAATAAACATGAATGTTGGGTTTCAGAATACTGTACATTGTGTATAACTCGGATCAACAAATAAATCCATCACATATTTTATGAGGGTAATACAAGTAATACTTACCTGTAAGCTTGTTTGCAAGTATATTGAGCAATATCTCCAAATTCTGTCCCATTTGAAACCATGTTAGTATTTCTTGAGGTACCTGGTGGTCCACAATTCTTCCCTATATAAAATATGGTTATTTATCACCATTGAAAACTTAGGCACAAAATATAAGAACGGCAACGCCAAAGTGTAGCGAATCCCATCGAACAGCCATGGATGGCATTTTTACTAACAAAGTATATAGCAAAAATGGCAGGCATTTTTCAAAATGGCCGCCTTCTACCAAAAGTGTCATTAGACCATTTGCCATACTTTTAGTATTCACATACCAAATATTAACAAAATCGCTAGCTCCACTACTTTTCAAGTTATAGTTAAAATGGCGGCCATTTTTCAAAATGGCCACCTTCTACCAAAAGTGCCATTAGACAGTGTGCCGTGCTTATAGTATTCACATACCAAATATAAACAAAATCGCTCCACTACTTTTCGAGTTATAGTAAAATACGTTAAAATGGCGGCCATTTTTCAAATTTTTTTTCAAAATTGCCACCTTCTACTAAAAGTGTCATAGGACAGTGTGTCATGCTTTCACATGACAAATATGAACAAAATCGCTCCATTACTTTTTGAGTTATAGTAGAATACGTTAAAATGGCGGCCATTTTGAAAAATGGCTGCCTTCTACCAAAAGTGTCATTAGACAGTGTGCCATGCTTATAGTATTCACATACCAAATATGAACAAAATCTCTTCACTACTTTTCGAGTTATAGTAAAATAGGTTAAAATGGCGGCCATTTTTCAAAATGGCGGCCATTTTTTAAAATGCCACCTTCTACCAAAAGTGTCTTTAGACAGTGTGCAATGTTTATAGTATTCACATACCAAATATGAACAAAATCGCTCAACTACTTTTCGAGTTACAGCAAAAATCGTAAAATAACGAGTAAAGGCTGCCATTTTTCAAGATGGCTGCCATGTGCTTCTCTAATATCTACATTTCTAGCTTTATTAATGTTCTATATAATTTTTTTACATCTAAAACATATTGCTATTACAGTTTTACATACTGCACCTAAATTACTGTAAATTCAGCACTAAAATGGCCGCCATTTTGAAATGAGCAGCCATTTTGAAAATTGGCTTTCGAGCAGAACTTCTACGCCCATAGGGTATATGTGTACAAAATATGAACAAAATCAGGCCAACGGTATTTGAGTTATTGCCCGGACGGATGGACGGACAGACGGACGGACGGACGGACGGACGGACGAACGGAGGCGTTCCCTATATCCCTCCGAACTTCGTTCAATGGGATAACAACAATTATAACATGGCCATTATAATCCAAAATGAGGCAAATATGAAGAAGTAAAATTCCAGAGAATTACAAAATTACAGAATAATAAATTAAAGGCTTGTTCTGTTTTTGATATTATATATACATATGTATTGTAATACAGGGTGGTAAAAAAAAATGGAAACCCTGCATTTTCCTCATATCTTTGTCATTCTAGAAAATTACTCCCTCCCCCCCTCCTTACTCCCTCCCCCTCCTCCCAGCATACCATATTCCATGACCATCAGATTGATAGTCACAATGTTACAGCCCTTTGAACAAGACGCCCCAGTGTGGCCACCATCACGCTGTTGGCAAACCTGAACAGGTTGTCAATGATCTGACTACATTACTAGCAGGTATGGCCTGAATGACACAGATGATCTCCTTTTTTAGGTCTGCAGTTGTCCTGGTGTCATTCTCATACACTCTTTTTCGGTGTATCACCACAGGTTGAAGTTAAATAGGGACATTTTGGATGATGGGTGCAGGTTTGCCGAAAGTGCAAAAGTGGCCACTGGGGCATGTTGTTTAATGTGCTGTAACATTGTGACTATCAATTTGATGGTCATGAAATACGGTACGCTAGTCGAACATTGAATGATGTACAAATGTGCCAAATATCTGGGAGTAATATCCCAAAATGACAAAGATATGAGGAAAATGGTGACAGGGTTTCCATTTTTTTGGACCACCCTGTATCATGTAGAATTTTCACTGATCTGCACCAATAATTGTCTTACTTTGACAAGACTGATTAGGAAGTGACCAAGTGCCATCACTAAGGCAGGTGGCAGAAAGTGATTGTGGTTCATGGCCCACATTACATGTAAAGATGACAACATCACCAGCGATATGTCCAAGGGAACTGATATTGTTGGTAGAGTCTGGAAGACCTGCCAATGCTGGACAGCCCCTCACTATAACAAAAAAAAAAAAAAAAATTAAATGTACATGTACTGTGGCCATATGAAAAAACTATCACTACCAATTTTATCCTGGATTTCTCAATCAATTAACAACATATGAGCCTTGTTAAGACATAAGCCACGGCTCATTTGAAAGGTATCTTTAGTTTTTTAAGATAAACAAAAAAATCAAAATATTGATGAGACCCTTTTTCCTGTGCCCAGACTCATATGATGAATGAGTTTGGCCCCTATTGAACATAATAACAAAAGATCTACAAAGAACAACAATACATGGAAAACAAGATGTGAAGAGAATTGTTGAAGATATAATTGCACAGAATGATACCCTTTGCATTCGTTTGACTTCACTTCTTAAAAGAGAGCTTCGTCTTCCTGTGCCAATCAGTGCGCCAATCAGTGTTCGTCGGCCAAATTTGACCGACGTTCTATATATGGTCATTCCTTCTGACGTCATCGTTGAGCCCGGAATTGACCAATGACATGCGTATATTTAATTAGAATGCATTTGGCTTATGTTTCTTCAAGCTCGCTGATTGGTGGAAGAAAGGTCAGCGCGTAGGTCAAAAGTGATTTATTACCAGAACTGTCACCGGCACCTGTCGTGGGGGTGGGGCTACTAAACTGAAATATGGTCTCTACTAGGCAGAGTGTAGTTTAACTAGACTCTGCACTCAGGGTAACAGAATGACCATATGTGTACATGTATGTTATAAGTGCGTTGACATATCATTTGTACTTAAAGTATCAAGAGATAAGAGAATGTCTGATACCTTTTTCTTGGCAAACTGCTGGACCAATTGTGTAATTACCAATGGAATCAGATCTGGAAAAACGTCCAAATGCAACTTCTTTGATGGGTAGTTCTTTCTCTGGTCCAGGTACAGTAGCTGCCACAAGATCACCCTCATCCACGAGCCAGTTATCAAGATTCGAGTCACAATTACATGCACCTAGACAGAAATCAATAAAAAATAATCTAGCGCAAGATACTTTAAAACAATAACTTTCAATAACACAGGCTGGTATCGAAATATTTGTCCGCTGTGACGGAGCATGCTATTTTTCATAAAAACACTAAGAATACTTCACGATTTATGTTTTAACTCATATGTTTCGTTATACCATACAAAATTACTTACTCCATGCAATGGATATATCATTTGCGGGTAACTTTCACTTCTGTTTGAAGTCCAATTACGCTGGGAAGAAAAGCTATTGAAAATGGCGCCGGAGTATCATACTTCAAAATGTACCATTTCTTGTTTAACTTTCTAATGGCACAATATAGTGACACAATAATATTTACACATGGTTTCAGCATAACTATGAAGGTATAAATGAGATGTTGATGTATTTGGTCTTTTTAATTCTTTTATAAAAAATAATGTTTAATTTTTTTGTCCGCTGTGACGGAGCAGTTGCAAATGTGAACAGTGAAAATGCTCCGTCACAGCGGACAAAAAATATTAATATTATTTTTTATTAAAAAAATTAAAAAGACCCAATGCATTAGTATCTCATTAATACATTCAGAGTTATGCTTAAAACATACGTTAATATTATCGTGTCACTATATCATGCCATTAAAAAGTTAAAAAAGAAATGGTACATTTTAGAGTTTGATACTCTGGCGCCGTTTTCAATAGATTTTACTCCTAGCGTTATTGGACTTCAAACAGAAGTGAAGGTTACACGCAAATGATATATCCATTGCATGGAGTAAGTAATTATATTTGATATAACGAAACATACAGGGTGATCCAGAAGTAACGTCAAAGACATTGTAATTTCAAAAGTATTCATCAGATCTTCATGAAATTTGGTATACATGTACCCACAACATTTCTGAGTTACCATCTCAAAGATTGGAATTCAATCATTTCATTGGTTGAAATTATGGTTGCTATAGTAACCCGATATCGCGTAACCCAGGGCAAATTGAAGAGAAACCATAACGTTTTTGTGAATTTCTCTAATTTAAAAAGTCAGTAACATTTGAAAATGTTCATTGTTTGTTTTCTATGATTTTTATATTTGTTGCCATGGTAACAAATATGTAATAGTTGTGATGTCACAATAGGCATTCATAAAAAAGCTTTCAATTTCCATCATCCATGACAAATACTAACATGACCAAGGACACTAACCCACCCAATTCAAGATGGCGCCAAGTCAGAGTAAAATAGAGCAAAGAACAAACATTAAGTTCTGTGTAAAGTTGGGGAAAGGTGTAAAAGAGACTATAAGACAGATAAAGAAGGCATATGGTAAAGCTGCCATTGCTGAGAGAAACATTTACAGGTGGTTTAACAAGTATTCCAGTGGATATGATGAAGTGGTAGACAAGCAGCGAGGAGGCAGGCCAGTGTCGTCATTCGATGATCAAACCATCAAAGCAATTGAAGCTGATGTTATGGACAATAGGCAAATTTCTATCAGAGAATTGGCTGAAAAACACGATCTGAGCTATGGGACTGTGCAACGGATACTGACAAAGAACTGTCTGTTAAAGAAGGTGTCTGCTAAATGGGTGCCGCATGACTTGACACAGGAGCAGAAAGACCGGCGTGTTAAGGCTTCAAGGGACTTTCTTGCAAAATATCGGAGAGATGGAGATGACTTTCTTAACAAGATCATTACGAGTGACGAATCATTGCTATCATTCTACATCCCAGAGACCACGCAACAAAGTTCATCGTGGAAACATGACAACTCCCCAACACCAACCAAGCCTAAAATAGTACCAGGAATTCCACAAAAGAAACAAATGGTTGTGACATTCTTTGACATTAGAGGAATGGTGTTAACCCATTTTGTTCCCATTGGCCAGAGAATTAATGCCGTTTACATTGCAAAGGTAAGATATCATTTGTTCTAATAATACATCATACTGTGAATTTTATTTTTAAATTAAAGTATTTAAATGTTGTTCACTGTCAATATAATTATAACTCCATGGCCATGATTCAAATCCAAATCCAATCAATGAAACAACTGGTTTAACAACCATTAAACATTTGTTTTTCAGGTTCTGAAGCGTGATCTTCAACGTTCCCTGAGGAAAAAGCGTCCCGGACATCTGCAGCAGTTTATCTTGCATTGGGACAATGCCCCTACGCACACTGCAATCCTGACCAGCAACACAGTCCAAACACTTGGATTTCAACAACTTGAACATGCCCCTTATTCACCTGATCTTGCCCCCAGTGACTTTTATTTGTATGGGGAACTAAAAAGAAACCTTAGTGGAAATAATTTTCAATCCTGTGAGGAATTGAAAAATGCCGTAGTACTAGCCCTACAAGGAATGAGTTCTAATGGATTTAATTCTGTGTTCAAGGAATGGGTATCCAGACATGAGAAATGTGTTGCAAATGGTGGCAATTATGTAGAATGAACTATTATTAGTAACTGTGCAATAGTATGATTTATATTGTTGTGAAATAAAATGTTGAGGATATAACAATTTCAGATCTTGTTGATATTTTGAGATTACGCATTACACGTTAAGTAATTTGCCCCGGGTTACGCGATATCGGGTTACTATAGCAACCATAATTTCAACCAATGAAATGATTGAATTCCAATCTTTGAGATGGTAACTCAGAAATGTTGTGGGTACATGTATACCAAATTTCATGAAGATCTGATGAATACTTTTGAAATTACAACATCTTTGACGTTACTTCTGGATCACCCTGTATGAGATAAAAATAAATCGTGAAGCATTCTTAGTGTGTTTATGAAAAATAGCATGCTCCGTCACAGCGGACAAATCTTTCGATACCAGCCTGTGAATAAAGGAGTGGTATCGATAAGGAGAACTTTTTAAACACACGTTTCTCTTAAACCAGTCATAAAAAAATCTAAAAATCTAAAAATTTAACACATCGTCAATTTATGGTCATCTTTTGAATGGTAACAATATAATTTGAAAAATATATATAGGATGTCTCAAAAAAATGTACCCAAAAGTATATCAACACCATAGACAAACCAATCAATATTTTCAGACATTTTTTGCATGGTCTTGTAGATAAAAGATGAAAGTTTTTGCCCCTATACACAGTTTTTAATTTAGTTTTGCCTTTTTGATACTTTAACCCGTTACCTTTTACACCACATATTCAATGTAACCTCATATTTCGATGACAGTCTGCATCCTTACTACTACATTGTTCATCACATTTGATATTTCTGGTAAAATGTTTTGATTTCTGTTTGGATGCTGGTCTTAAGTTGTTCTAGGTCTCTTAGCTTGGGTTTAGCATAAAATGGTCCTTCAAATAGCCTCAGAGAAAAAAGTATGGGCCGTCAAATATGGTGAATAGGGAGGCCCTCACAATGTCTTATAGCCCCCTTATACAGAGAGGTCAGAGGTTCAAGAAACTGCATTGGCTGGGATTCTAGTGTAGCTTTTGTTGTGTGTATCATTTGAGACCACTGTGTTTTCATTTGGATATCATTTGGTCTCCAGGATAGCCTATCTAACTCTGGAAGGTAACTCCTAAATCATACTCCAGTAATTGACTTGATTATCTGTGTTTGTTCTGCCATCGTCATCCTCAAACATCTTCCTCTGTGGCTATTTGAAGGAGTGTTTAAATGCTCATTCCAAGCAAAAAGACCTAGAACAACTTATGGGCAACATTCAAAGAGAAATCCAAACCATTCCACCAGAGTTATTATCAAATGTGATGAACAATGTAGCAGTAAGGATACAGGCTGTCATCGAAATATGAGGTAACATCGATTATGTGGTGTAAAAGGTAAAGGGTTAAAGCATCAAAAAGACAAGACTGAAATAAAAATGGTGTATTAAGGAGAAAACTTTCATGTTTGCTCTACATGACCGTGGAAAAAATGTCTGAAAATATTGATTGGTTTATCTGTGCTCTTGATATACTTTTGGGTACATTTTTTTGAGACACCCTGTATATACATGTACTTTCATCTATATTGTTTTAGAAAACACATCAAACACTTCTTTTGTTCTTGGTATCATGTTTCCAAAGTGAAATGAAACATCTTTCCGAACCTCATTGGAACAAAACGACATAAACACAACATGTTTAGGTCTCTCAATATTGTAATTGTACAAAGGAAATTTTGATTGATTTAAAAAAAAGTATCTTGATAATGAAATAAAAGGTTTATCTTGATTTTTATCTATTTTATCAAATTCCTTTGTATAACTATAATATTGCGAGGTCTAAAAACATGTTGTATATGCTATTTTGTTCCAACAAGGTTCGGAAAGACATTTTATTTCATTCTCAAGAATTGGTAGAAAGGAGCAAAAACAATTGCACTAAAAAAACAAGGTTCGGAAAGACATTTTATTTCATTCACAAGCATTGATAGAAAGGAGCAAAATAATAAAGGCAGTATACTCATTTTGAAAAATCAGATGAATTTTTTTTTTTTCAGGGGGACATCATAATGGAGAGCGCACTACTTTAGCAGATTGGCAAAACATAAACATATTTGGCAATTCTTAGCAAATCAGCTAATTAAACATAATTAAGCAAATATGGCAAAATTTCAGTTAATCTGGCAATATTTTAGAGGTTTTGACAAAATTTAAGCACATTTGGCAAAGTTTTAGAAAATTTGGCAGCAAAGGATAGGTATCGATATGGTGAACTGAATTCAACAATGTTTTTCTCTTGAACCAACCAGAACAAGCCATTTTTAAATGAGCGGCCATTTTGAAAATCGGCTTTCGAGCAGAACTTCTACCCCCATAGGGTATATGTGTACAAAATATGAATAAAATCGGGCCAACGGTATTTGAGTTATTGCCCGGACGGACGGACGTACGGACGGACGGACGTACGTACGTACGGACGGACGGACGGACGGACGGACGGAGGCGTTCCCTATATCCCTCCGAACTTCGTTCGATGGGATAATTATTGAAAACATTGTGTACAAATACACGGTCCTTTATGTAATGTTGACTGATTGACAATAAATTAATGCGAAAATTATTTATACATATTTTCTTTAACTGTTTTTGTTAACATTTTTTGTTTTTTAGTGTAATTGTTTTTTGTTCCTTTCAACAAATTTTGAAAATGAAATAAAATGAGCCTTGTTGGAACAAAATAGCATATACAACATTTTCTTAGACCTCTCAATATTATAGTTAGGAAACTTTGGTTGATTTAACAAAAAGTATTCAAAAATTAAAACAAAACCCCTCAAATCAGAATTTTTTGATGAATGGTTTAAGAGAAATGTGTGTTCAAACAGTTCACCATATCTATACCAATCCTTTTCAAAAAAAAACATTCACTTAATTAACCATGGTAGCTCACTCTGAAAATAATATGGCAACAAATCCTGGCTATGCCAGTGTCATGGCATCTTGGATTTCCAGGGTATGATGTGTTCATATCAAAATAATGATTGATTGAAATCAAACTGGGAAACGAGTATGCACATGAAGTATATAATACAAAACCGAAGGCAAAGTGTCATGGATGTCAGAAATAGCTTATTGTAAGTGAACGCTTCTTACAGGAATATAGTGATAGCTCAAAGTGGTCAAAAACTTAGTACATATACCAAGAATGAATAATACCCAATAAACATTTGTGTTCTTATTTCAATCTTGATACCTTGAGATCTCAACTCTTTCTTGCAAATGTACAACTTTTCAGAAGAACATGTGAGATCATTCCACCTTCCATTAGCATCAGCTTTTGTGTGAACACAAAACTCATTAGGTCCATAATTTGGCTCTCCACTGTCCCAATATCTAAAATAACATAGTTGGAAGTAAATCAAGCTGACCTGACCTGCATTGTGGATGATTTCTTTTTATTATTATGTTGTAATGATATGTGTTTCCACAAAAAATAGCACTGATTGACTTAATCTTAACCTAAAACAAATTAAAATCCATACGCAAGAGAGCTGTCAAGAATCCTCCCATCAAGCCATCTATGTCGACGGTATGCTCCATCCCTTAGTAGTCCAAGCCAGTGTTCCCCACCCTTTTGCATAACATGAGATGTTATAAAATTCTAAAATCATAAAACATGTTAAAATGAAAAGTACCAACTAGATAACGGCAACTCCGCGGAGTAGCAAATCCCAACGAACAAAATATCAATTAGCGAATTCAAATCAATTATACTCATTACTTTGGTTAAAATTGAAAAAATTAGATTTTAGAATTGCGAATTCCTGCAAAGCAGCCATTTTGAATTTTCTGAGATACAAATCTGAAAAATAATACCATAATTGTGATCTACTCCAAAATTCCTTCAATTTGAGTATAATATAGCCATACTTTGAAGGGATCGAAAAATTATTGCGAAATCGTACATTAGACGGCCATTTTGAATTTTACGAGGCTCGAATCAGAAAAAAGATACAAAATTTGCAATCTACTCTTAATTGCCTTTCACTTGAGCATAATAAAGCTATACTTTAGAAAGATCTAAAAATTAGCGAAAATTTCTGTTTTCCTGTCCCCCCATACACGGCCCCTGGGGGTCAGGATGAAAAACACAGAATATATGTGAAATAGATAAATGTTGTGAATATACTACCAAAATTTCAAACAATAATATTAATTACTTTGGTTCAGAATGAAAAAGGACAAGGTGCAATTATTGGCAAATATCCCTATGGTCAAAATGAATCATTCGTAGGTGTAACATGAAGAATAAAATGTCATATAATACTTTGGAAAATATTAAAGTGCTCGGACACAAATAAGCTGAGATAGGGATCATTTCGTTCAGTAAGGTTGTATTGACTTACATGGGGCTGTGCACCATTGACTTAACATGAGGATATCAGCAGATCCCAATAGAGGCCATTGGTTTCCATGGATTATGACAGAAATACCCAAAATACACTATGACCTGAATCGATTGCAAACTTAATAATTTCACAATACGAGACAAATGGTTTATCTCATCAAATGTGCAAATATGAAGTTTGCAATCGATTCAGGTCATACTTAAAATCAAAAGATTGTACATTTTTTCATCATTTTTTTCCCTACAAAATGGCTATAGAAAAATGCTCCAAAAACAACTTTTACACTAATCAAATATCATACAAGTTTGTAAAACCAAAGATTATACTATTATATTTCATTATGTAGTAACATATTTGGATAAGATGCAGGGATGCGTAGGATGTAAATGGATTTTGACAGACACAAAAATACTTCCTGGTTTGGAATCTACGCCTCTACACTTCATGATTGAATTATGACCCTAATAAGTGGCCTATACATCAATACAGTGCTGAATATAGGTCAACAAGATACTAGTGTGCATATAAATGTAATAATTGAAGCAGAATACTCATTTTGAAAAATCAGATGAATTATTTTTTTCCCATGGGGAGATCCCAATGGAGGGTGTATAAGGTCCTTTATGATTTTTGCGAAAAAGTCCCGTCATTTTTAAAAGCGACGGCCATCTTGAAAATTTTTTTTTTGCGTAAAACTATTCACCAATATACATCTTTCCACTAAATATGATGAAAATCCGTCTACTAGTATTTGAGTTATCTTCCGGACAGACGGACGGACTGACTGACTGACGGACGGACGGACGGACGGAAGGAGGGCTTCACTATATCCCTACCGAACTTCGTTCGTTGGGATAATTATACTGTGTAAACCTGAAGAACATTTACAACATTTGAGACTCAGGAACCAGATGGAATACTGTTACAGATAACATGTGTATTTCATAAAACAAAATACATGTCATATCATACTTCAAAGGATATTTCACTGCGTGAAATATGGGACTCCAACTCTTGACACGTCTAGAAACTGGTCTTTACACGCCGGGTTTCTAGACGTGCCAATTATTTACACCTCTTGACACGCGATGAATTCAACTCTTTACACCTCTTTGCACTTCTTGGCACACGCAGTGCAAAGACGTGAAAAGACCATGTCAAAAAGTCTTTGCACGCCCTGTGACAATTAATGGAATCTCTTGACACGCTCTTGGCACACTGAACAACATAATTATGTGTAAACAACTAACCTAATTACCAATAGCAATACATACAGTATTTTAACGATTGCAAGTATTTTCTCTGATACATTTAATTGATATATTTTTTAATCATTCTTTCGCAGACTGTTTGGAACAAGTACATGTAGCAAATATTAAACAGACTATTTTGTATGTACGCTGACACATTGACTTATTTAAACATTTTGGCAATTTCATGCCGCCTTTTGAAAATATAAATCAGTTACAGGCAATGCTAATCGACGCATTGATCCTAAGTGAAGGAAATACATATCATGATAAGAAAAAGAAAGGCGTTTCAAGGATAAAACGTGCAATAAACTTTGAAAACACTGATACATCAGGCCTATTTATATATTTGTTTTGTATAAGCTTAATATAAAGATAACCTTACTTTTCGATGAGTATTTGGATTTCGGAGTAATTTGTTTCAAGTTAAGTCAATACAAATTATCGCCGACTTAACTTGTGACCATACATATGATAAATGAGGGGCATTTTAATACACAATTGGGCAAAACAAGCATATTCAATCGAATGTACCATTCTCTCTGCTGTTCTTTCCCAGCCTATCCATAAACAGACAGGTACAAGTTCCCATAGTTTTCGCAACATATAATTCTATGATCAATTGCTAGACACAGCAAATATACTAATTAATTGTCTGATTGTGAACGTAGGGATTTTACATAAACAGGATAGTTGGCTGTACATAGCCTGAGAACACCGGATTGACCCCCCCCCCCATCGATGCCTAGGCGCTGCTTATGTTTTAATAAGAAACATTCCCTTGTAAAGAATTATCGGGATATGAATTGATACAAGGTACCCTTTGCATTCGTTTGACTTCACTTCTTAAAAGAGAGCTTCGTAGTTTAACTAGACTCTGCACGCAGGGTAGATACAAGGTCAAGTATTCTGCCCCTTTTGTGTGATAAAAATATGTATTTAATTGGTGCTTTAACTTTTTGAACAAAGAAATGAAATAATCGCACTGAATGTCTCAACATAAATCAGTGATGTTTAATTAATAAATGGCACTATTATGTCAGTCTACGCACTTCATGGACATGGACGGGAGGGGGGTGTGAGTTACCCATTCTAAAATGGTTAAATTTTGTATTAAAGAGTAATCAATAGGTCGTGAACTCCGATTGATAACCAACTGTAGCATACTACTTAATTTATTTGACTATTGATATTAAAAAAGAGTGAATTTATGATATTCATAGAGGTACATTGTATTGGTATTAATATAATAATGATATTGGGGACCATAAACCACTTTGTTTCGCAAGTAGCTTTAGGATCGCGGTTTTATCTTCACATGTTGCCCTTTGTGCAATTCGAAAATGAAATATTTTAATCTCTAATTTATATATCATTTGCAAAATAAATGTAATTAAGAGACATGGGGGAGGGGGGGGGGTTAACGGCCAGAATTTGGAATGAATTTGGGAATTTCAAGGATTGTTGGAGTCGATACACACACCTGCATAACAATCGGAGACAAAACTGACTTAATCTGATATGATAACAAAAGATTAATAACTTGGTCTATGTTTTTGTTTTTATAATTGCGGAAGTGTACCAAAACCACCTTGATTACAGAAGATATCGTCTAGGCTTTAGATTTAATGAATAGATTTTTTGCCCTAGTCTCATTTAATAAAACAGGCTATTTGCGTATTTAATTAATATTTGTGACAAAATATTTCAGTTAGACTCAAAATCAAAACGAATTTCTCCATTATAGCCCCCCTTGCAACTGTCCCGAGTCTGCATCTGTTTTTCATGCTTCCGATCCACCTTTGGGATAGAGAGAATAGATGTAGATTTGTAATTTGGGGGGGGGGTGGCATTAAATGTGTTCTCATACAAACTAAAATAAACCCCAAAAAGCCATATCAAATGTCCAAACACAAGACCAATGCCATGTCAAACATCCAAATATAGAACCAATGCCATACCCCCGGGTACCAAATATCCAGAATATAAGACCAAGGCCATTCGAAATATCGAATGCCCCGAGAAAAAGGCAGATCTTTGAGTAAAATGATCATAAACAACCTCAAATGAAGGATATGTGTAACAACTAGACCAATGCCCCGGGACCAATGCCGTACCACAATTGAGGGGTAACATATTTTCCACACCGATTCTTATACCAGAAAATGGAAAAATCTGTCTTACAATGTGGGTCCATTGGCTTGACATACCAAATGTAAAAAAGGTACCCCATCTGAGCCGAGTGTGAACCCCCGGGGTGAATGGTGAACACACGGGGCAAGGAATTCTTCGATTTTGATTCAAGTAATTTTTTTTATAAAATTCATACTCATGTTAATAGCGGACGCCTTGGCCAAATAATCTTTCAAATCATGCACTTTCCAAGTGATTTTGTAGCAAAATTGTGATAATATATGAACCCCTTGGAATAACGCAGATGCGAGTAGGTAGTTACCAGATTCACCACCGGGTGGCTCGTTCGGGTCAGATAGCATGACGGGTATAGTAGAAAGTTCCCTTAAACTTAAATTACATCTATTTGCGTGGTTCAATTTTCATATAACCCTTATGTATCTAATAGTTATGCAAATTAAAATATGTCCAGTAAAAGAAAATGTTATCTGTCCAATACAAGAGAAGATAATTCACTTTTTGTGATTTTGTAACATGGGGTCTATGGGGAATCAACCCGAACAAGAAGTCGCATTTTCAAAATAAATTAAATTTTCAAAGTTGATAGACAATTTTCGAAGCCATGTTTCTAGATGTACTTTTACATGCAGATTTCAAATATGAGATCACTTTAACCGAATTTTGAATATTTAATGACGTAAATCAAGATTATTTTTACTCGCATCTAGTCTATTATTCAAAGACGGACCCCCGCCAGCCCATCCCCCATTCTTACCTATGCTAAACACTAAGATAAACATATAGAATGGTATCTTACATTTTTTTTCTAAATGTTGATATCCAAAAAACATATCTTTTTGGTTTATCAGCACATACCGCTCACAATATAACAAGTATACAGATTGTAACATAGATAAGCGAATTGGGGAAAATAACAATCCCTTTGATCAAATAATTATAAGATTTAATCTCCAGCTGAGGTGCAATCAAAATGTTGATACACATAATTAGCAGTCAGAAAGATGCTCTTACCACTGTAGTTTTCAATATTCCCTTTGTTGTATCATCTTATTTCAAAAGAATGGACATTGATGGTTGTATGGAAGTATTCATATCAAACATTCACATTATAGTTTACAGTGGAATTCCCTCCATAAATGCAACATATTTACCATTTAAGATTTCATATTGGACTTTCCGCATAATGATAAAATGTTGACGATATAGTTTTCGATAAAACCCGAGGGCCGTAGCCAGCTTTCAGTCGGGGGGAGGGGTGATGCAATCACCAAAATATTTTAGGTTTTCAGTCGGGGGGTGCGATCGTGACATAAATGAGGCAAAAAATATTTGTTTTGAATTTTTACGAAAATGATGCAACTTCCTTCAAACCTGAGCTAGAAGCTTCAAACAAAAAATCAATTTAATGCTCTTTTCTTCCTCTACCTTATGGTACCTTTTATTGCTTGTAGGAGGGGGTGCGAGCCCATCGCTTCTCCTCGTTACGCTTTTAAACCCAATAACGTATTCCCAAGGAATCGACTTTATCAATTTATATGTGAAAAATGAGCTTGCATGTACAAATTGCATCGTATGCAAACCTTCCCCTGACCGACCCGGTCATGTTTATGTCTTTTGAATGATGTCTAACCAGAACCAGTCCAACCTTTAACCAGAACAACAGCAACGCCAAAGCGTAGCGAATCCCATCGAACATTTTTCAAAAGGGGCACCTTCTACCAAAAGTGTCATTAGACAGTGTGCCATGCTTATAATATTCACATACCAAATATGAACAAAATCGCTCTACTACTTTTTGAGTTATAGTAAAATATGTTAAAATGGAGGCCATTTTGAAAAATGGCCGCCTTCTACCAAAAGTCTCATTGGACAGTGTGCCATGCTTATACGGATTCACGTACCAAATATGAACAAAATCGCTCCACTACTTTTTGAGTTATAGTAAAATAAGTTAAAATGGCAGCCATTTTTCAAAATGTCCGCCATTTTTCAAAATGGCCGCCTTCTACCAAAAGTGTCATTAGACAGTGTGCCATGCTTACAGTATTCACATACCGAATATGAACAAAATCGCTCCACTACTTTTCGAGTTATAGTAAAATACATTAAAATGGCGGACATTTTGAAAAATGACCGCCCTCTACCAAAAGTGTCATTAGACAGTGTGCCATGCTTATACTTATTAACATACCAAATATGAACAAAATCGCTCCACTACTTTTCGAGTTTTAGTAAAATAAGTTAAAATGGCGGCCATTTTTCAAAATGTCCGCCATTTTTCAAAATGGCCGCCTTCTACCAAAAGTGTCATTAGACAGTGTGCCATGCTTATAGTATTCACATACCAAATATGAACAAAATCGCTCAACTACTTTTCGAGTTACAGCAAAAATCGTAAAATAACGAGTAAAGGCCGCCATTTTTCAAGATGGCTGCCATGTGCTTTTTTAATATCTACACTTCTAGCTTTATTTATGTCCTATATAATTTTTTTTACATTTAAAACATATTGCTATTACAGTTTTACATATTGCACCTAAATTACTGTAAAATCGGCACTAAAATGGCCGCCATTTTTAAATGAGCGGCCATTTTGAAAATCGGCTTTCGAGCAGAACTTCTCCCCCCATAGGGTATATATGTACAAAATATGAATAAAATCGGGCCAACGGTATTTGAGTTATTGCCCGGACGGACGGACGGACGGACGGACGTACGTACGGACGGACGGAGGCGTTCCCTATATCCCTCCGAACTTCGTTCGATGGGATAATAAGTGGTGTTAAGAATATTGGTGTAGGCCCAGGTGAAGGGATATGTCATAAAGATTTCACGTTATCGCGATATACATGTAGCCGCGTCCCCTTTGTCTTTATCCTTCCAAACGCAAACGGCAGATAAGAGGGGTTCTTAGTGATTGATCTGATGCTTAATAAGCCACTTACAAGATACAGTTTTAAATATTGATATTGTGTAAAGTTTTAACACATAGGTGTAACCACGGGGGGGGGGGGTGCGATTCGTGAATGATCGCACCCCCCCCCCCGCTTAACCAATAGAGAAGGAAGAAGAAAGGAGCTTTGAATGGCTTTCATTTGAAACTTCTAGTTCAATTTTGAAGGAATTTGCATCAATTTTTGTAAAAATCAAGATAAATCTTAATTTTTGGCTTGTTTATATGCCACAATCGCATCCCCCCGACTGAAAACCGATTTTTTGACGATCGCACCACCCTGACTGAAGGCTGGCTACGTCCCTGTAACATGTATTCAATTGATATAGCCATAAAATACAATAAGACATGTTTGTTTCGGCACTTTGAAAATAATATTTTTGTTCCCTTTCACGATGTGTCCTTTTTCAGCGTTTGGTGTTCTGCTAGGAATGGATTGAATCAGGATTTAATTTTGCGAATCTCGAAACAGGCGCTAAGCAAAATTACCTTTATTTTACACCAAAGAGTATCAGGCCTGTAGCCAGGAGTTGCCAAGGGGGATTCACTTTTTGAAAAATTCCAGAAGTGGTTCACTTGTGACAATTTTGGTCCAAAATTAGCCAGAATCACTTAAAAAATGCTCAGAATGGTGAAAACTGCATGATTTGAAAGATTTTTTGACCGGGGGGGGGGGGCTACGGGCCTGAATATATATTCATTTTGAGGGTTTAAATAATGTGTTTTATACAGAGAGTGTATTCCAAATATCGAGTCTGGTTTAAAGAGAAGTATCCCGGGAGAAGTATGAGGTTCTCGGTATCATTTTCAATGACAAGGGATTATTCTTTAAGAGTTTTAACTTTATAATCCACATAACCTGAACTTGTGATTAAACTAATGATCAAAGGATGGATTTTTGCATCATTGTTAAATCGGGGATAAGTTGACAATACCCATGTTTAACTTGGATTTCATTTAAAACATTTGATTCCGGTTTTATAAGGAATTTTAGTTTGATTCGTTCATGATTTGTTAGACTTTGTCTAATGTCAATTAATATTGCATGTGGCCGGTCTAATTATACTGTTTGTTTTGATAAGGCTGTGCAAAGAGATATCAAAACTCTTGACACGCTCTTTACACGCGAGGTCTTTGCACCTCTTGACACGTCTTGGAATCTCTAGATACGCTGAGTTCCTAGACTATCTTTGCACGTCTAGAAATTGCTTGGAATTTCACATTTGACGCAGTGTTTGCCATACCCTTTCTTCTATAGATGTGATACTAATAAGATCAGCCTCTTCCTGTTGACACCTGGTTCGAGAATCATTCCAGCTTTGGGATGTGTCTCCAAAGAAGTAACAATTTGACTCATATATTTCCCAACCAGGAGGACAGCCTGAAATGAAAACCAATTGATCATTTTCTTATTTCCTTCACACATATGTATCATCACACATATATTGTTGCTACACATGTAATTACTATGATATCAGTCCATTTTACCTATATATCAATCAAAGCACTGAAAGAATTTATATGCTTCATCACCAATCTTGTAAAAATGAAATTTTGTAGGCAATAATTGTTATTTTCTTCCATACTGAAAAAGTAAATAAATAGTACCATGGATACTGGGTTCACATGGTGTTGCTCAAAAGTGAATGATGGCTAAAATGGCAGAAAATAAAATAAAAAAAAATATATGTAATTTTTGCTGATTTTTTGTAAGAAAATTATTTCATATAACTCTTTACAGTGACGTGGCTTTTTACAATGCAGGGCACCTGAAATTATTTGCTAAGCTAGGAAATGGGCCAAAAGTTAATTTCGCGAGACAAAAATGGCGACCATTTTGAAAATAGGCAAGCTTTTGAACTAGGAGTCAATTAGGATGGTTTTCTATATTGAGGTAGTTCTTTTGAAGCAGGAGACATATGGGGCTTTTCAGTATTGATGTTGAACAAAAATAACTTTAAACGGGAATCCTATCGACAGAGGTTTTAATGCACATGGTCCAAAAGTGGATTTTGTAAGATAGATGGACAAATCAATGTTAACTAAAATGGCTGAAGAAAAAAAACGGATAAAATTTTTGCCGATTTTTTGTAATGAAATTATTTCATACAACTACTCTGTACAGTGACATGGCTTTTTACCATGCAGGACACCTGAAATTATTTGTAAAGTTAGGAAATGGGCCAAAGGTTAATTTCGCGAGACAAAAATGGTGACCATTTTGAAAATAGGCAAGCTTTTGAACTATGAGTCATAGGATGGTTTTCTATATTGATGTTAAACAAAAATAACTTAAAACGAGAATCCTATTGACCGAGGTTTTAAAACTGGCCAACAGACAGACAGACAGACAGACAGACAGACAGACAGACAGACAGACAGACAGACAGACAGACAGACAGACAGACAGACAGACAGACAGACAGACAGACAGACAGACAGACAGACAGACAGACAGACAGACAGACAGACAGACAGACAGACAGACAGACAGACAGACAGACAGACAGACAGACAGACAGACAGACAGACAGACAGACAGACAGACAGACAGACAGACAGACAGACAGACAGACAGACAGACAGACAGACAGACAGACAGACAGACAGACAGACAGACAGACAGACAGACAGACAGACAGACAGACAGACAGACAGACAGACAGACAGACAGACAGACAGACAGACAGACAGACAGACAGACAGACAGACAGACAGACAGACAGACAGACAGACAGACAGACAGACAGACAGACAGACAGACAGACAGACAGACAGACAGACAGACAGACAGACAGACAGACAGACAGACAGACAGACAGACAGACAGACAGACAGACAGACAGACAGACAGACAGACAGACAGACAGACAGACAGACAGACAGACAGACAGACAGACAGACAGACAGACAGACAGACAGACAGACAGACAGACAGACAGACAGACAGACAGACAGACAGACAGACAGACAGACAGACAGACAGACAGACAGACAGACAGACAGACAGACAGACAGACAGACAGACAGACAGACAGACAGACAGACAGACAGACAGACAGACAGACAGACAGACAGACAGACAGACAGACAGACAGACAGACAGACAGACAGACAGACAGACAGACAGACAGACAGACAGACAGACAGACAGACAGACAGACAGACAGACAGACAGACAGACAGACAGACAGACAGACAGACAGACAGACAGACAGACAGACAGACAGACAGACAGACAGACAGACAGACAGACAGACAGACAGACAGACAGACAGACGGACAAGTGAGTGATTGCAATAGCTCACCATGTGAGCTAAAAAGTCCAAGTAAGATATTTTAATAAAGTAAATAATGAACATGTACTCCAAATGATTGAGATCGAATACACAGAGATTATCCTATATGAGGTTCAGGATATTGGGATTATCCCGAGGCCAATATAATATATCTATATTATATTGGCCAAGGGATAATCCCAATATCCTGAACCGACTATAGGATGATCTGTTTATCCCATACCAATCACATGGTTCAATTGGCCAAAGTTCAGAAACTCTGCAACAAACAGTAAAATTATTTTAAAATGTTCATATCCAGTTTTGTATTCTTGTCCGTAGCCGAATTTTCCTGTTCAAATCTTTGATTATAAACGGGGCATACTGTTCCTTCCCTTTTTTAAAGCATCAAACAGACCGCGATTGTCTGCGTTTTTCTCCATTGTCGTTTACAGTATGCGAACGTTACAAAAAAGAACCAATACGGGAACAGCGATTATGACGTAGCGGGCAGATATACTATATCTGCCCACTCAGAGCTGGACGTAAAGCTATATCTGCCCGCTAATGAAAATATATGTTTTTACAAACCAGCTTTATGTACCCGTAACACCTCCAAGTATGGGATAAATACATTTATTCCATAGTTAGCATGATATTCATAGGATAACATGTGAAAATAAAAACGGTATTTTAGTAATCAGTGGTAAAATATGATATTTTTGACAAATTTTCACTTAACCATAGCATACGGTTTTTTAGCCATGACATACGACGTCGTATGCGATGGTTTATGGATTTTTGCTACTTCAGACTCAAAACGAGGCTAAGTGTCAACATCGCCGGATCGTTTGGAAAATTCGAATTAAATGACTTAATTTCTGACGATTCTGATGATGACTTTAACTATGGAATAAAAAGAACATCCTATGATTTACTCGTGATATGATTTTAATCCACTCATGGTTGTTGATATCTGCACTCTCTCGCTACGCTCGCTCGTGCAGATATCATATCCATTCGTGGATAAAAATCATATCACTCATAAATCATAGGATATCCTCTATGTATCTCATACTTCAGTGGGTTTGGGGTAGATATCACTCGGGAATATATATCATATCTGAGGAGCGGGCAGGATATATTGTATATGTCCCGCTCCAGGCCAAATGCGAGCAGATATAATATATCAATCCCGCTCCCGGGAACTTTTCAAAAGTTAAAAAAAGTTTAAATATCAAAAGTTTTAATTTTGAAATTTAAATTTTTTAAGTTTAAATGTTACAATTTCATTGTATTGAACAAAAAGAATATTACGAAAATGTTGAATATAAATATCTTGTCATTTGAAAACGATGGAAAAGGTTATATCTACCCTAAACCCACTCAAGTATGAGATACACCAGTTATGCACGGTCGGTTTGGATACATGGAATATCCCTTGGGATATACAATACATCTTCCCTCGGTCCCTTCGGTCCCTCTGGAAGATATATTGTATATCCCTCGGGATATTCCCTGTATCCAAAACCTACCAGTGCATAACCCCTATGTATTTCCCTCAGCAGAGGATTTCATATTTCAACTGTTAAAAATTTTGCTGCTTTAAATGTATGTCTTGGATTCATTAATTTTACAGATTCTAAATCAACATCATGGCATTTCTGACTGAGGAAGACAAGTATTTTTGGTGACAATGGATTGCACTCTACCTGGTGATGTAACACAGCTGTTATTGGCTTTACATCCACATTGCATTTTATCAAATTCACCGCTTGGATGACCACCCCAATAGGCTCTTTGGCTATCATTGTGAGTCATCCATCTTGTATTGTCCATTCCACTATGGTAGCAGTCATACCTTAAATGATAAATGAGCAATCTAATATTCTGATAATTTTTTTGGACAATCCTCAGTGAAACATATATAGAGTAGTCATGCATGTACATGTTATACATGTTAAAAGAAAACGCTTCAATAATATAAACAGAATATATGTGTGTAAGTGATGGAAAACTTGTAAAACTAGAGTGACCCAAGAGATTCTGTGAAACACACTAATGTGTGAATATGTTTTGAAAAGTGACCTTCAAACACATGTTTGTTGTTACATACCTAACATGTTGTTTGCAATCACTTGTAATATCCAAAACTTCCATTAGGCGATCTAGACTCGAAGTGAAATAGACCAGTGTTCCGATAGAATTACAAGCGACAGTGTTACACCCGGGTCCACTAATAATGCCTGTTGTCATTTTGTCATGTTCCAGTGACAGGCCTGCAGGAGTGGTAGACATATCACAGAAGACAATTAATGGGGAGTCTTGTGCATTTGGGTTAATTGCTCTATGTCCTGTGCCATATCCCTCTGCCTGCCAAACTGAGCAGGTTTTACCTTTAACACAAATGTTGGTTGTCTTGTAAGATTGTCAGAACTTTTTATATATTTGCAGTAGTAGTACAAGCACATGATATGAAAACCAAAAATGATTCTTATTTTCAAAGAATGATTCATTCAGAAAGTGATAGACTAAAAGTAGCTTAAGACTTAAATAAGTCAAACCTACGTGATATTTCTGGATTTCTTTCTGCCATCATTTGTATCTCTTGGTATATTTTCTGAAGACCATCGACCCTATAGTGCAAATTGCAGTGTTATGATTTCAAATAAAACAGTATCACAAATTACATTACAAAGATGTAAAATTGATTCTACTAACACCAGAGATTTAATTTTGTATAAATATTACTTCTATCTATTAGGTAGAGATTAAAAGGTGGATTGGATCGAGTGGATTGGATTCATATAAAAGGTGGATTGGATTGGGAATCTTCAAAAAATGAACTTTTTTCTGTTGATCCCCCAAAACAATTCTGCTCTAAGGTTTTTTGTGATCACTTGGGTCCCAGGAATCAGAACAAAGCAACAACAAATACATACTCCAATAAGTTGATGGATACTCTTAAGTATTTCATGCTGCTTTCACTAGTAAATCAACTTTTTGGAAGACATAATAAACATAGATATTTAGATAAAAGATGTCATTCGATGTGTGGATGTTCCCAAAACATTTCTGCTTTGTTCGTTTGGTCTGAAAACAGATGATATGGATCTTCAAATCAGTCTGCCTTATGATTTATGAAATGTCTGAAATTACTGTTGGAATGAGTAAGATTGTGTATCAGAAAGCAGGTTCCATGTCACTCTTCTAGCCCAACCAAGCAAAATACAATATCACGTCTATTATTTGACATTGTGTAAGTGAGGAAAGTACTAATCTTCTTAGAGAGAAATCAATAGAATTTTTTATGGAAAGTTTATATTTTGAAGATTCCCAATCCAATCCACCCTTTACATGAATCCAATCCAGTCAATCCAATCCACCTTTTAATCTTTACCGTCTATAACCCCTCTTATTACCCCATTGATGGTTGAGTTCTTAATATACAGCCAATTATCCTATGACAAGTGAGGTTTCAGGTGCATAACAGCCCACTGCATATCTCCCGCTCTGATATTCCCAATAAAACATTTTTGTTCAGTGTAGAAACAGTCAATTTGCTAGCTAGAATGCCTTATTATATCGAAACTGTCAAAATTTATGCAGTACAATTTTTCTTGACCAAAATGTTGATGAATTTCTCAAAAATAAAGTAAAAACTTAAGAAAACAAACCTGGAGATGGGTAGAGATGGGGAATATCCCTCGGGAAATGAAATCTCCATTAGGATATGCCCCAAATCTAAAACCTCCCATAACATAACCTTCATATATGAACAATTTGCAATTGAAAATAAAAGCAATACCTCAAGTACATAATTGCATATTTACCTGCCATCCTGTTGATTAGTTAGTTTTCCAGTGATATCCGATATTAAAAAGACAGATAGCAGTAAAACAAACTGAAACATTTTAACTTCTTATAAAAAATATTCTATCAATATACCATTTGTATAGAATATGAGTAACTAGTCTTGATCTGGTGTTTATATGTTTTTTTGTGTCTTGAACCTGTTCACGAAACCCTCAACATAAATCATGCATAAACAAGTACAGGGTCCACTTTCAAAATAATATTCCAGATGCGAGTAGAAATAATCTTGATTTACGTCATTAAAAATTTAGTCAAACTGATGTCATATTTGGAATCTACATGTAAAATTACATTTAGAAATGTGGTTTTGAAAAGAGTTAATCAACTCTGAAAATTTAATTTTCTTTGAAAATGTGACTTCTAGGTCGGGGAGATTCCTCATAGACCCCATGTTGTAAAACCTCAAAAAGTGAAATATTTTATATTGTGTTGGGCCGATAATATTTTCTTTTACTGGACATATTTTAATTTGTATAACTATCAGATACATAAGGGTAATATGAAAAGTGAACCACTAAAACTGATGCATATTCAAGTTAAAGGGAATTTTGTAATACCCTGCCATGTTAATTCCCCCGAATCAGCCACCTGGTGGCGAAACTGGTAACTACCTACTCGCATCTAAGTAATTGTACCCAATATATTTCAATTCACTTGTGCCAATCTTCAAGTCATATTCTAGATAACAGGTGCATATATGATAAGTGAATGACATCCCATGATCATGAGTTGGGAAATATACTTTAAAGTGCAGAGAGAGTGTAAAATATTAGAAGCAATGTATTAAAAACAAATAGCATGGTTTCTGTTGATATTATCATCTGAACAATTGAATTATGTGATCAAATACAGGTCATTCAAGCTGCAAAAATGTCCAAATGATATTTCTTACACCAATTTTAATAAAAATGACATAACATTAAAATATTTGAATCTAACTGAATTGATTGGTGGTCAATCAAAATTGATGAGCTCTATTTTGACACTAAAATTGATATTCAGTTGAATTCATATTTCATACTGAGCACAGCTTTATATTTTAATTTTAAAATCTCTATACATGATAACCCAGATTTGAACTGGCAGTATCAGTAAAAGATCTGAACAGTAAAAGTGTGCTCATTGTGAAAACTATAGGACTAAAAGTGAAGCAAATGTATATCTTACATCAAGTGGAAGCCATGCTGTTTTCCCCTTTTAATCAAAATGTTGGAAAATTCAAATAGGCCTATTTGACAAAAATGAAAAATATATTTCAAAAATATGATTTTATTTATTTTTATTTATTCCTCCATGAGTCTTCATGTATACTTCTTCTTTGTAATTTTTAAATGTTGCAATTTGTATTTTCATGATAACTACAATTGTTTGGAAGGATATGCTTTTTTAATCACTCTAAAAAGGTGAATATAACAAATATAACTAGGATAGTTATATAAAGTACATTAAAGTGTTGTGTTTATTCTGATCAATGACATGTTAGACTGACATATGACCTTCTTAATGGTGCACTGGAAAGTCAACTTGAAAAGAACAATACATATCTTGAGAGATTAGAATTATTATTGTAAGAAATATACTATTCACAGAAGATAAATTGTGTATACCCTGCAAATTAATATTACATCTTTGATTGATTTTTGGTTGGTAACAACTTTGAAACTGTTTCAAGCAAAAGCTCAATGTCAGAGTCCATTGACATTCTGTGTTCACCATCCTTTCTGAATAAAATGTCAACATCCTGACTTGTAACTTTGCTTGCTACACTTAGAGATGTTTCATATGGGACAGTATCATCTTTCATTCCATGTATCAATCTGATTGGACAGGTGATGTTTAACACATCTTTGTTCAGAATTTGAAATTGCTTTGCATCATCAACAAAGTGGGGAGACATTTTCCAATCTCCCCATTGTCCAGATACTGTGAGTCCATTCTCCTGGATGTGTTTGGCTTCCTAAAAAAGAAATGTTGGATATACTCTTCATAAAATGATAATCAGCATGCAAATCTTATAAATAAGTAAGACAAAAATATGTTGGGTTTTATTTGAATACTATTCAGTTGAAGTTAATAATCAACTAACCCTTTCTGTTAAATTTCCAAATCTCCTCTCAATAAAGTCAGCAGCAGTTGCTATACCAACCAGGGAATGTATTCTTTCTGGAATCTCCATAGCAACAAGCAGCATCAGCCAACCACCCATGCTTGAACCAACTAATATCTGGAGTATTGTCAACACAGAAAAGGTATACAATATCATACTTGGTAAATCTCATGATTTTGAATTTAGTAATAGAAGATTAAGAAACAGGAAAAGCCTCAGCAATACATACCTGTGGGCCTTTGGTGAGTTGGAGGACAACTTGCTTTATATTTTCTTTCCAAGAACTGATTAGGCACTCTTGTCCATCTATTGCTGATTTATATGTACCACTATAGTCAAATCTGAAAAGTACAAACCAACACACACTGTTAATTGAACTGTAAATCAAGATTACATCTTTTCAGTTTGCTATTCTGAATATTACAAATAACTTTGTGAATAAAAGATAAAAGGAATGAAGATAATGGTTAAAATACAGAGCTAAATCAGAACTTCCTTCTCATTCTACCCAACAAACATGAGTATGGACATTGAATTCAATAAAAACTACGTAATAAAATTGTGTGCAATTAAAAGAGATTTGTATTTTGTTATATGTACATACTGTTAAATAGATTAAAATTCCTCAATTCACTAACCTTTTATAGCATTACTATCTAGCTTTCGACAACACCTGTTGCCTTTCTCAAGATGTCTGAATTTGGCGGGAAACTGGTAGATTTGACCTTGACTTGATCTTTGACCTAGCAACCTCAAGTAGACTCGGGGAAACCTTATATCCTAAGTCTCTGTTAAGTTCAGGTTTATATTTATGAATATGTATCGCTTCCTTTATCTTTCGATCAAAGTATTTAGACTCTGAGTCAATAATTCTATAATCCCAGTTTATCTTATGCGCTTCATCAAATGAATGTTGAGCGATTGCTGACTTGTCTGGGTTAATTCTTAAGGCGTCTCTGTGTTCTTTTATTCTAGTTCCTATGGCTCTCCCTGTCTCTCCTATATACTTCTTATCACAATCAGAGCACTGGATTTCATATATGACTCCGGACTTAAGGTCCTTGGGAGTGGGGTCTTTGGGTGCAACTAACGCTTGTTTGATAGTTTTCACTGATTTGAAACAAGTCTTAACTCCAATGTCTTGAAAAACACGTTGAAGTTTGGGAGCGATCGAACTCACATAGGGAAGAACTACCTTAATATCCCTATCGTCACTGTCTCTAGCAGGATCATGTTGCCTAACTGTGTGATTCTGAGCTTGGTTTAACATCCAAGATGGATAACCACACCGGGCTAATGCTTTATTAATATGGGTTTTCTCTGCTTCTAGCTCTGCGGGATTTGTAATAATTTCATTGGCTCTCTTGTGTAAAGTCTTAACGATTCCTTTCTTTGTTGAAAGTGGGTGATGTGAATCAAATTTTAAATATAAATCGGTGTGTGTGGGTTTTCTATACACACTAATGGACAAAGATCTATCCTCCTGAATTTCCGTGACTGTATCTAAAAATGGCAACTTCCTATCTTTTAAAGCTTCAGTTGTGAATTTTATATCTGAGTCTACTGAATTGATAAAGTCTGTGAACTCTTGGACGAACTCTTCCTGTATAACTACCCAAGTGTCATCCACGTATCTCTTCCAAATGCGTGGTGGGTGCGGTGCTGAACTTAAAATCTTCTGTTCTAAATGTTCCATATATAAGTTGGCAATTATTGGAGACACTGGTGATCCCATAGCTGCTCCATGGCACTGACTATATATTTCGTTTTTGAACGTGAAATATGTTGTATTTAAAGTTCTAGCTAACAAATCACCTATGTGTTCTGGCGTTAATGATAAGGACACTTATGTTAAGCTAGTCAAAGATCCCACCAACAAATATAAACGCCAACTAATTAGTCAACTGGCCGTTCTAAAGAAAGCAAAGGAATTGAACGAACAAGAATACAGAAGGGTGTATCCCAGTCAAGTAGTTATACCTAAATTCTATGGACTACCCAAGATACATAAGGTAACAGTTCCACTCAGACCTATAGTTTCTTCGATAGGCTCTGTTACATATAATTTATCCAGATTTTTAGCTGACATCCTTCAACCCATCGTAGGCAAGACAGCGCATCACGTTAATAACACAAATGACTTTGTAAAACAAGTGAAGGATCTCAGATTAAGCGAGGTGGAGACCATAGTTAGTTACGATGTTACAGCGTTGTTTACAAGTGTTCCAACACAGACAGTCGTGCCCATCATAGTGAGTAATCTCAAGAAAGACAATAAGTTAGCAGATAGGACTAAATTAACGCCAGAACACATAGGTGATTTGTTAGCTAGAACTTTAAATACAACATATTTCACGTTCAAAAACGAAATATATAGTCAGTGCCATGGAGCAGCTATGGGATCACCAGTGTCTCCAATAATTGCCAACTTATATATGGAACATTTAGAACAGAAGATTTTAAGTTCAGCACCGCACCCACCACGCATTTGGAAGAGATACGTGGATGACACTTGGGTAGTTATACAGGAAGAGTTCGTCCAAGAGTTCACAGACTTTATCAATTCAGTAGACTCAGATATAAAATTCACAACTGAAGCTTTAAAAGATAGGAAGTTGCCATTTTTAGATACAGTCACGGAAATTCAGGAGGATAGATCTTTGTCCATTAGTGTGTATAGAAAACCCACACACACCGATTTATATTTAAAATTTGATTCACATCACCCACTTTCAACAAAGAAAGGAATCGTTAAGACTTTACACAAGAGAGCCAATGAAATTATTACAAATCCCGCAGAGCTAGAAGCAGAGAAAACCCATATTAATAAAGCATTAGCCCGGTGTGGTTATCCATCTTGGATGTTAAACCAAGCTCAGAATCACACAGTTAGGCAACATGATCCTGCTAGAGACAGTGACGATAGGGATATTAAGGTAGTTCTTCCCTATGTGAGTTCGATCGCTCCCAAACTTCAACGTGTTTTTCAAGACATTGGAGTTAAGACTTGTTTCAAATCAGTGAAAACTATCAAACAAGCGTTAGTTGCACCCAAAGACCCCACTCCCAAGGACCTTAAGTCCGGAGTCATATATGAAATCCAGTGCTCTGATTGTGATAAGAAGTATATAGGAGAGACAGGGAGAGCCATAGGAACTAGAATAAAAGAACACAGAGACGCCTTAAGAATTAACCCAGACAAGTCAGCAATCGCTCAACATTCATTTGATGAAGCGCATAAGATAAACTGGGATTATAGAATTATTGACTCAGAGTCTAAATACTTTGATCGAAAGATAAAGGAAGCGATACATATTCATAAATATAAACCTGAACTTAACAGAGACTTAGGATATAAGGTTTCCCCGAGTCTACTTGAGGTTGCTAGGTCAAAGATCAAGTCAAGGTCAAATCTACCAGTTTCCCGCCAAATTCAGACATCTTGAGAAAGGCAACAGGTGTTGTCGAAAGCTAGATAGTAATGCTATAAAAGGTTAGTGAATTGAGGAATTTTAATCTATTTAATCATACACCTAACCAATGAACAATTTCGGATATACATACTGTTAAATTTATATATTCTAAGAGCACCCACAACGGGAATCTCATATGGCATATCGTAATTTAAATTTGGTGTCTGTACTGACCAATCTATAGCTACTATGCAACCATCAATAATATTGTTAGGCAGAAAATGTTTCGATGGGTTCGCTCGAACCCCCCCCTGGCCAAAAAAATCTTTCAAAACCATGCAGTTTTTCACCATTCTGAGCACTTTTTGGACCAAAATTGCGTAAAAGAACTAAAAGTAATAAAACTAAGAAGCCTTAAAGAAACATTAAACATATGGTACGAAGCAAGAAAACAAGACCAACCACTACAGATGACGTAGTAGAGCAATGCAACAATTACATTATAAGCAATAAACAAGTTCTGTTCAATAGAAATTAGATTGAAGCAGGAATTACTAAGGTCAAACAACAATACCAAAATAACCAAGTCATACACTTTGAAGAATTAAAAAGAAGATTTAGTATACATTCATGAAGAATGATACATTATCTTTTGACAATTTGCTCATTGTGGCAGTCATTTTACATTGTCACTTCATAATGCCATCACCTACTAAATGTTGACATATTGTTATGGCCTTTTTTCAATCTTTTGTTTTTTGTTAGTGGCATTTCCTGAACGGCAGTGTGCATATGTAACAAACTTTAATGCAGTTATTATTATGTACAATTACTGCATAGGTCAATGAATTTTGAGCTCAAAATAGTATATTTGGTATATTTGTTAACACTACAGATGCAGCTGCTGAAAGCGAAGAATACATGTATGAGGATGATGACACCACTGATGAAGCACATCCCAAAAGGCGAAAATGTGAGTTATTTGAACCACCTAAATTCCTTCAATCTTCAATAATATTTTTCGTAAAAGCGTAATCTTTTATAACTTGAATTCTATAAAATGGATTCGTTTCAAACTTTATATGCTGATGCTTGGATTCTTGGGGAAAAAGAGCTCTCCTCTAAAAAGTTTAAAATTTCGCTGCTTATTTCAAGTCGATCGCTATTTGAAAAAAAGATGTGTTCCATTCGATGGGATATGATACTCGGTTGAGTTGCTGTTTTTTCTAATTTACTATGCCATGGCACTGCTGAGCTAGCAGTTATTTTTATAATATATGAACAACAATTACTGCATTGGTCAATGATTTGCAATAATTCTCAGATAATTGTGTTGATGGATTGCCTCTGCTTACTTGGATAACTTAAAGACCTCGAAATGATTGCTCCTTTTACTGTAGACTTAAAATAATATTTGGAAGGCTGCGTTTTTATTACTACTTTATAGCAATTAAAAATTGGTATCATATCACAAAATTTGTTACTTATGTGATAAAAACCAACACTCTTTTTGTACATATTTGTAGATAATGGAAGAACAATGTGGAGTGATGAAGAAGAAGCTGCCATTAGAGAACATTTTTTTATCCACACACAAACAACAAGGCAAAACCCCAGGGAAGAATGATATTGTGATCATCAGAGACATTGTCTCAAACACAGGACATGGAAAGATATTAAAAAATATATACAATATGAATAAAACAACAAACAAAAGATACCACAAATGAATTTGATTGAATTTGTGTCATCATGACAAATGGCACACTTTTTGACGGCCATCTTTGTTCTTAAAAAGTTCATGAATGAACTTTTCAAGAATATTTCAAATATTATGCATTCATCATGAATTGTAAATTCATGAATAATGGATCAAAGCTATTTTCATGAACTCTTCATGAATTATTTTGAATAAAAAGTTTATGAAT